TCAGCCTCCAAGAGCTGTTGTCAGCATGTGAAGCATTTGGCACAGTGCCTGGCCCTCGAGAAATACTACCTACCGGTCTTATGACCACACTGTCCCTCCGCGTGTCTGTGCTCTCCACCTCTCTCACATTTCCGACCTACACCTAGCTAGCTTCTAGAGTTAAACTATACCTCTGTCCTTTAAGATATTTCAACACGTTCCTCTCCCACAAGTTAACGACCTCTATCCTCGCAACCTGAACCGAGTCCCTCTGCCCTGGGGCGGGAAGGGTTTTAACTCGAGTTCCAAGCCCAGGAGAACTTCTTAGGCGTGACTAAGATGCCCTCGGCGTCAGGCTGTGCTTCTTCTTGCCTGCGAGTTGGACCTTGTGGGCCACACCATCCATAAAGCCCTGAGTGGCAGCTTTGAATGCCAGAATGGGGTGTGAAAATCAGGAGACCAGAGTCAGATTGGTACAGCCGATCGCCCGGGTTTCTGAGAGTCAGGCCTGAGTCAGAGTTTCCGAAGCGGAACCCAGGCCTGACCGAGAGGACCCAGGGAAGGCAAGTTTTTTACAACCCATTTCTAGACACTGGTGAGCAGCTTGCAGAGAGCGTGGCCCCTGTCTGGCAGGCTCGTCTTCAGGATTCCTCCCCAGGGAACCTCTCCTGCGGACCTAGGGCACGCCCAAGGTGAAACAGCTGCAGCTCCTTTGCCAGCCAGAGCACTCACGCAGCCAGTGTCTGGGTTTCGGTGAACACCGAGGACCAGGGGGGTTCCCAGGGCTGGGACAAGCTCTGGGGAAGGAAGGGAAGGGGACCCCCTATGTATCGGGGGCCCTCTGTGAGCCAGGTCCTGCCCATCCTTTCTCTTACCTCGGCCACTGTAATGGCATCTGTTTTCCTCAGCACCGAATCCCCAATGCCTAGCACAATAGATGCGCGGTAAATATTTAATCATAATAATAGTGAAATAGCTACCATTTATTGAGTGCTTATTACATGCCAGGCACTGTTCAAAGTGCTTTCTATTTCTTCTCTCTTTTTTTAAATCTTTATCTGAGGGCATTTTTTATTGCATTTGGAGAGAGAGGAAGGGAGAGAAAGAAAGAGAGAAAGAGAGAGAAACATCAATTGGTGGCCTTCTTCTATGTGTCCCAACCAGGGATTGAACTCAAAGCCTGGGTATGTGCCCTGATGGGAATCGAACCCACCACCATTTGGTTTATAGGATGATGCTCCAACCAACTGAGCCACACTGGCCAGGGCCCCTTTCTGAATGCATACAATATTTGCCAGATTTAAAAATCCGATAACCCTGCGAGGCTGAACTCTTCATTCCTGTTTTACAGAAGAGGAACCTGAAACACACAGAAGGGAAGGAGCTGGTGGAAGGGCAGACAGTGGGGCCAGGCTTCGAATCCAGGGAAGTGTGGCGGCCCCAGAAGTAGGAGGGAGGGTCCGGGTTCGAGTGAATGAGACAGGGGCCCTTAAAGGCAAGAATCAAGTGGACTTTGAAGGAGACACTTCCGAGGAGACAGGAGCAGAAGCTGGTGAATGAGCAGTGGGGGCCGCCACCAGCTGGCTGCCTCTTAGAATGAGTGCAGCAAATGCTGAGAGACAGCCCCCCTCCACCACTCTCCAGAGAAACACTGACATCAAGTCCACAGGGCCACACCACCTTCCCACAGGAAGAAGCACAATGAAGCTTAAACTTCACCATGGCCACTGCGGGGCATGCAGGTTTGAGGGGTGCGGCTGCTGCCTCGGTCATCACAAGCTTCAATTCCCTGGAGCGTCTCTCCGGTCAGGTTCTCTCCTGGAGGCCTAGTGTGGGAGCCGTGTGTGTGTGTGTGTGTGTGTGTGTGTGTGTGTGTGTGTGTGTTGGGGGTGTAGCAGGCAGCTCCCTAGTGCAGCCTGACGTGAGTCACAGGTGACACTCCTCCCCTGCAGCCAGGGCCTACCTGAGCAGGTAGGAGCGAAGCACACACCCATACACTTAGCCTCATTCCAAGGTGGGACCACTCGCTGGGGTTGTCTTGCTGAAGGGGCCGAGAAGCTGACCTGCCCTCCTGCGCAAACCATTCGGGGGCCCTGATTTCTCCAGTGGGACAGGGGGCCCCAACAAGGCAAAGCCTGGTAGTGGTGCCCAAGAAGCTGTGCCCTCTGCCCCTATGACTCAAATGACCAAGCCTGCCCTGGTCACTGCACTCAGCTCAGCCAACTCAACCGCATCGCCCGGTTTTTCTGGTAACACACAGCTCCATCAGTTTGCCCCGACTTGTCGGATCCCTGCCGTGTTATCTTCCCTGCTGCCCCGAAGCCCTTGCCTGCTGCCGCTCACTGTAGGCCTGGGACACAGTGGGACACAGAGCAGGTGCTGAATACGTTCGGGTGAGCCTCAAGTGTAAAGGGGCCACAGGTACAGCCACGCCTACAGTCTTGGTGTTTCGAGACCCTCCAGGTGGGCGAGCAGGAAGTCTTGTCTTGGACGTGGGCGCTCCTCACCAAGTTGCTGGTGGTGTTCCAGGTTCTGACAGGGGCTGTGGCTCTCTCTGAGGTCCTGCTGCTTGCAGACCCGAGGCCCTCCGCCCGAGGTCTGGGCGGCTGAGCCACTTGCCCTTGACCAGCCTCCCTCCAGGGCCTGCCTGCCTGACGAGGCCTTTGCTGATCCTTCCACGTGGCCGGCCCCCTGCAGTGTTTCCTGCTGAGCTCCTTCAGAGAGGGGATCCCCTGGCAGAGCTGTGGGAGCCCCACATGAACCCCTTCTTTTCTTCAGACTGCAGCCTTCACCCCGGAGCAAACAAGGCCCATGTAGGGATGAAGGGCAAATGCAGCCTCAGACCGTTCCTGGGACACGGCCCTCCCCAACCTCCAGGCCCAGCCCTCGGTCAGGCCCCCTTCTTGGAGGCCCCTTTCCCCACTTAATGTGGCTTCCGCTGGCCCTGCCAAGCCTGTTGGGCTGGTTTGAACCTGTCTGAATTCCAAGTCCCAACATGTGGACAGGGTGTCAGGTCTTTCCTGAGAAGTCCATGGGTCCCATGCAAATCGGGGGTGTGGCTGGCCACATTTCAGGGGGTGTCATGCCCACCTCCCCATACCTGATGCTCCATAGGTATTCAGGTCTATTTCTAGCCCACGGGTCCCTTCAGGGGGGCACCATGGCCTGATTGCCTTGCCCTGGCTCAGCCAGAACATCCTACCCCAGGAACTCTGCTCATCAGTCAAGATGCCAGGGGAGGAGAGTGTACATTTTCTAAGCACCCACTATGAGCCAAGTGTCTGCGGGGCCCTTCCAGATTTAAGATCTCCCAGTTGCCTCAATCTTTAATAAACTTTTAGTGACACCCACTCCGGGTCACACTTTATTGACTTTATGGTTTTGACAACATTCTCATGAACTATTTCCATGTCAGAGTTCAGGAGACTCAGGGTCTGAGAGGCTGAGGGACTCACCCAGGGTTACATGGCTAGGAAATGACCCCCAATTCTGGGACCATCTCACCCTGCCACATTCTGTCCCCCGTTGTGGCCTTAAGACACATGCTTGAGGAAAACAGACATGAACTGCAACATGCTACTCACCTAAACCAGGGGTGCAAACTCCAGCATGTCCCGGACCCAAGGAGGGCATTTCCATGGGGGAAGCTGCCCACGTGTAACACAACAGGGATGAGTGGAGACTGTGGGTAAGCGGAGCATCTGTGACAGGGCCTGGCAGCCAGCAGGTCCTTAATACTTTTGGAATGAGTATGTTATATGGTACATATCAAATGTTACATGTGAAAATGACTTGTAAATAAGAAAAGAAATCATAGCTAACAATTACTGGAGGTTACTATGTGCCAAGTCCTCAGTTGACCATTTTATGCAATCTCTATGAATCCTCACAAATCCTCATTATACAGATGAGGAAACTGAGACCGCTCAGAGAACAGGTCATGTGCCCAGGGTCATAGCTAGAACGAGGCAGAAGCAGAATTGAAACATAGCAGAGACGTGAGGCTGGAATAAACCTGGAAGGGAACTGGGGACAAAGTTGGACTCCAGAAGCAGTGGCGCTGAGGCGAGGTCACGGAGGAAAAAAAAACGCTGTGCTTGTGTAGGGCCATGTTATTTAAGAGCTGGGGTGGGCCGGGCGGGGTCCAGGTTTTACCTGGGAACGCTGAAGCCACGCGGAGAAGGCTACAGGTCCCAGCATGTGGACATGTCATGTTGCACTCAGGTTACAATGTACTGGAAAATGCTGAGGTGGCAGCTGAGAGCCTCACAGACTCACCTCCCCCAGTCTAACCGGAGGCCCAGGGTGGGGGACATGCTTCTTGCAGAAGGACACCAATAAGCCACTGAGTGCAGGTTCCTAAACCTGAGATTCTCCGAAGCCCAGCACCGCGCAGTCCCCCCATTCTCTGAGAAGCGTAGACTTCGGGGCAGGCAGCTCCTTGATGTGGGCTTCACCCTTGCTACTGACTCTGCTAGTCCCCCAAGAATATGTTTAAGGGAAGCAGGGACCCATACGGGGCTATTCCCTGTCCCTTTCTGTCCTCCTAAGTAACCCATCTTCAAAATATATCCCAAATTTAGTCATTTTCCTTCACTAGATCCAAGTCACCCTTTTCCTCTTCCTCCTCCTCCTAGTCATTGAGATGCAACTCTCAGTAGCTAAGGTTCTCGAGGGAGATAGAGCCAATAGGTTATAGATATAGATGCAAGGAGACTTATTATTACAGGAATTGATTCACGCGGTTATGGAGGCTGAGAAGTCTCACGATCTGCCATCTGCAAGCCGGAGGGCCCAGCGAGCCTGTAGGGTCATTCCATCTGAGTCTGAAGAACTGAGAACCAGGGGTGCTGGTGGTATAAGTTCCACTCTGGGTTTAAAAGCCTGAGAACCAGGTGCACCACTGCCCAAGGGCAGGAGAAGATAGATGGCCCAGCTCCAGCAGGAAAAGCAAACGCACACTCCCTCTGCCGTTCTGTTCTGTTCAGACCCTCAACAGATTGGGTGGTGCCCACCTGCATGGAGGAGGAACGTCTGCTTTGTGCAGCCCACCAATTCAAACACGGATCTCTTCCAGAACCTCGCCCCACCACAGATACACCCAGAAGCAATCTCTTAGCAGCTATCCGGGCACAGTCAAGTTGAAACGTGAAATTAAATATCCCAACATCCAAAAAAAAAAGAATTCACTCTTTTAAAGTGCACGGAATTCAGTGGTTTTTAGCATAGACACCAACTTGTGAAACCAACACCCTGTTATAATTCCAAATAATTTTCATCGCTCCCAAGTGCCATTCTCCACTAGCGGTCGTTCCTCATCCCCACTGTCTCTTCCCCAGCCCTCGGCAACCTCTAACCTACTTTCCGTCTCTGTGGAGTTAGCTATTCCGGGCATTTCACATAAACAGAATCAAGCAACATGTGGTCTTTTGTGTCTGACTTCTTTCACTTAGCATCACGTTTTCAAGGTCCCTCCACATTGTAGCACGGGTCAGAACTTCATTCTTTTTTATGCCTGAGTCTTCCAAGGTACGGCTGTCCCACATTTTATCTGTATATTCATCAGCGAATGGCCATTTGGGTTGCTTTCACTTTTTGGTCATTACGAACAATACCGCTATGAACATTTGTATAGCTTTTGTGTGAACGTCATTACCTCTTGCCTGGACCAGACCACTCATCTCCTCGCTGAAGTTGAACCCCCTGCCCTTGGCTCCCAAGGGTCCATTCTTCTTACAGCAGGAAGAGGAAGCCTTTGAAAAGAGAAGTTAGGTCATGTCACCCCTCTGTTCTAAACCTCCAGCGGCTGCCCGTTGCCCTGGGGAGAACGCTTACCACGCCGTCTCCTCCCAGCCTCCCGCCCGCAGTGACCCACCGTCGTCTGTCCTTCTGCTCAGTTCCTCAAAGGAGCTGCACTCCTTCCTATTTCCACGCTAGGGGATTTGTCCTAAAGCTGCATTTTAGTAGCAACTGGTGCCCCGCCCAGATCCCTTTCCCCAGCCCAAAGCCCTTCGCAGCCAGAAGGAGAGCGTAAGCTGCTCCCTTCTCTAGAGAACTGCCCCCACCCAAGGTGGAGGGGGTTATGACACCCCTTCCTGCTCCCCTACCCTGCAGGAGAGGACTGATATAGGGACACTAATGGTTGGCCCTCCCACCTCGAGGCAGGACAATTCTAAAGTACAATTTAGATCCCAGAGCTCCGTGGCCCCTGCCATGGGGCGTCGGGCCACAGCCGGATCTTCCCAGCCCCTTATCTGCTCTGCCCCACTTCTCTCTCTCCTTCAGCAAATCCCACCACCTGTGTCAGACCTGGTTTAAGATGATAACATTTCACATGAGATGGAAAAGTTGTCCATGTCAAGATCAAACACTTTCCCTCCCAACTTCCGCTGAGGGAAGTGATGGGGAGGAAGGTTAGGAGGCCCCCCAAGCCCTCTCTGGTGCTGCTCCTGTGGTCGGGGCCCCCATCAGTGCCCCCAAAGCACCACGCACGTCCCCTTGTGCCCCGAGTACTTTGCTTCTTCCTGTGACTGTGGACAGTCTCTCCCCACTTGGTCTTAAGCTCTCCAAAGGCATGAACGGTATCCGCCTCACTTTCTGCCTCATCCTCATTGCCTGGCACCTTGGTGAAGGATGTTCCTTGCCACACTTATTATAAAACCAAGAGATTGGAAACAATCTAAATGTCCACGAAAGTGGAATGATTAAGTAATTCACGGACCATCTCTACCATTGAATACTATATACCCATTTAAAAGGAACAGCCCTGGCTGGTGTGGCTCAGTGGACTGAGTGCCAGCCTGCGAACTGAAGAGTAACTGGTTCAATTCCCAGTCACGGCACATGCCCGGGTTGCGGGCCAGGTCCCCAGTCAGGGGGTATGTGAGAGGCAACCAACTGATGTTTCTCGTCCTCCATTCCCTGTTCTCTAAAAATAAATAAATAAAATCAGTTTTTTAAAAAGGAACAAAGAAGATTTGTACGGATTGATACAGCACAATCTCCAAAGTGCATAGTTCAGTGAAAAAAGCCACATACTGCACAGGACACATAGTAGGCTGTTTTCTGTTAGAAAACGTATGTACTAGTTATACATGAATTTTTTACCAAGTGGGGGAGGTCAGCACCCCTAACCTCTGTGCTGTTCAAAGGTCAACTGTACATTCAAGAAGCAAAGCCCAGGGATATTGAGAGGAACACAAAAATGTTAGCATCCAAACAGTGAAATCGCATGATTCATACATCTAATTGAAAAAAAAAAAGGATACAGACCCTTTAGCTTGCTAATCCTTAGAACATCGGTTTTCTCCATAGAGAGAAGCTGGATGCCTGGGAGAGGGGGTGAGAAAGAAACCACAACCAATACCCTTCTGTCTTTTGAATTTTGTGCCCTGTTTATACCTTCTCTAATCAAAGAATATATAATATTTACTCAATTTTGAATGAATGAAGAATGGGGCTTGCAAAAGAGACCCTCTTCCTGGCGCCAGTGTACAAACCGGGGGTCGGCCCCGGCTGGTGTGGCTCAGTGGACTGAGCACCGGCCTATGAGCCAAAGGGTCGCTGGTTTGATTCCCAGGTAGCAGGCCTGGTCCCCAGTTGGGGGCATGCAGAGGCATCCCGTGGATGTTTCTTTCACACGTTGATGTTTCTCTCCCTCTCTGTCTCCCTCCCTCCCCTCTCTCTAAAAATAAATCAATAAAAAACAAAAAACAAAAAAACCCCAAAAGCAAACCACGGGTCAGCCGAGCTTGCTTAACCCAGAGTCACTTGATTTCATAGATTCACATGCAGTCAGCAGCTTGGGGCCCTGCTTTCCCGACCACAGGTTACAGTGAGGTCAGGAGGTCAGCGAAACCTCGGGGCATCAGCCAACTGCCTGGGACACAGCACAGGGCAGCAGAAAGAGCGTGGGACTTATTTAGCAACATGCATTTCCAGAGTCTAAAAAAACATGCAACTGTTTGACCTAGAAATTCCATCGCTGAGAATTCATCCTAAAGGGACAGTTGGGGATTATGCATAAAGGTTTCGCTGTAAGGTTCTTCACTGAAGGATTGCTTATGACAGCGGGGGGGGGGGGGGGGAGAGAACTGCGTCAGCCATGGGAGACCGACTAAGGGAATTAGGCTGGGTTCACATAAAACATTCACGTATTCCTTATGCAATTTTAACAAACTGTTTGCAGAAGGAAAGAGCAAAATTCTGCAAATTCCTTTTGATGTTTCTCTCTGTCTCCCTTCCCTTCACTCTAAAATCAATATGCAAGTCCTCGGGTGAGGATAAAAAAAACCCTGTTTAAAAAATGATTTTATTTATTTATTTTCGGAGAGAGGGGGAGGGAGGAAGGAAGGGAGGGTAAAACGAAGGGAGAGAAACATCGATGTGACAGAAATACGTCACTCCCTTGTCTCTCACACCCCCCAACTGGGAACCTGGCCCGCAACACAGGCATGTGCCCTGACTGGGAATTGAACCGGTGACTTTTTAATTCACAGGCCAGTGCTCAATCCACTGAGCCATACCAGCCGGGGCTATTTATTCATTTATTTTAAGAGCAAATGAAAGGGATGTCTAGTGTCAGGCAAAGCTTGGTTCGAATTCCCGCTGTACCCCTTACTAGCAGCATGACCTCCATCTACTTAATCCACCTTTCTGGGCCTCCATTTCCTCATCTATAAAATGAGTCGACTACCCAATATCCTGTGTTAGCTTTGGTAACAACCACAGAAATCTCCCTGGCTTAACACAACAAAGGCCTGTGTGTCTCTCAGGAGAACTCTGTTGCAGACATTCCTGGTTAGGGAGGCTCTGCAGCGGCCTTCTTCCAAATCATGGGCCCAGGGACCCGGTTCCTTTCCATCCGAAGCCTCCACCATCTTCAACTCCGAGTTCCCTTCCACGTGGACAAGACAGAGAGCACGGAAGATTGGAAGGGGTGTTTAATGGCCAGGCCTGGTGGAGAGGTGCATCCCTCCTGCCCACACTCTGTTGGCAGCAGGAGGCGCGTGGCCCTTTCTCCTTAGGAGGGGGCTGGGAAGTACAGTCTAGCCAGTGCCCTGGAGGGGAAACAGCCGTGTCTCCGACGCGCAGTTCAGGGGCTCCACCGAATGAATGAGTGAACTGCAAGACGGTGGCAGATCGTGGGCACTGAAATGCACCAGCTGCCTTCTCCTCCTTCCCTTCCCTTTACGACTGATTCTGTTATAGGTGTGACTTCCCTGTCTCTTCAAAAACCGACATCCTCCTGAAAAGTTTGGTGTAAATTGAGCCCAGTTGTTTATGCTTGGTGAGGGAGCGGGTGGGATAGATTACAAAGCAGGGTGTCCATTTAGAGGAGCCCCAGAGAAGAGAGCATCTCCTCCATCTCCCCTCGCTCCTCTCACCCCGAAAATCCTTTAAAAAGAAGAAAGTCTGACCATGTCTCTCTCTTCCACCTAAAATTTTTGGTGGTTCCCCATGGCCTTATGGGCCAGGTCTAAACTTCTCACCCCTGCAGAGAACGGCCCCACTTGCCTATCCAGCCTCCTCTCTTACACCCCCTTCTGGCTTCCTGTGCAATGCCCACACTTCTTCAATTTCCAGAATGTGCCTGGCTACCGTCCGCCTTCAGGTTTTCCACAGCGCCTTCCACTCCACACCCCTCTTTGCCTGCCCAGAACTTCCTCAGGAAAGTCCCCGCCTCTGACTCCCCAGTCTGGATTGGTTTCCACGGCTCTCTGTCTGCGTGACTCTCCCTGAGTTTCGTCCAAGGTGATGGTCAGACTCTGTGGTTGAATATCAGTCCCTCCCGCCATACTGCAAGCTCAGAAGGGTTGGGTAGTATCTGCTTCATTTACCACTGTGCCTAGCGCTTTATTTTCCTTGTCGGTGAAATGGAAATGTTAGCTGTTATGGACTGAACATCTGGGCCCCCATAAAGTCATAACTCACTCGTTCTTTTTTTTTTTTTTTTAAGATTTTATTTATCTTATCTTCAGAGAGAGGGGAAGAGAGGGAGAGAAACGCCAGTGTGTGGTTACCTTTCACACACCCTCTACTGGGGGACCTGGCCCGCAACCCAGGCATGTGCCCTGACTGGGAATCAAACCATTAACCCTTCGGTTCACAGGCCGGCGCTCGATCCACTGAGCCACACCAGCCAGGGCCGCAGATTCACGTTTGTGAAGTCCTAGAGTATGGTATTTGGAGACAGCGACCCTATGGAAGTAACTGTAGTTAAGTGAGGTTAAGCAGTGGGGCTCTAACAGAGGAGGGCTGGTGTCTTTAGCAGAAGAGATGGCAGAAAGCACTAGCTCCCCCCCTTCCTCCCCTCTTTCTTCTCTCTCCCAGCCCATGAAGAAGTCATATGAGGCCACAGTGAGAAGGCTGCTACCTACAAGCCAAAAACAGAGGCCTCCGAATGACACCTACCTTTCAGGTACCTCGACCTTGGACTTCTACCCTCCAGAACGATAAGAAATAAAATTTCTGTTATTTAAGCCGCTCAGTCAGTATTTGCTACGGCAGCTCAAGTGGATTAAGACAGAACAGAACTCACCGACGTTGTTTTTTAAGGACTAATAGCTAAAGCACTTCAAGCCCCACAAACATGCCCTTGACTGTTAGGATTGTCACATACCACATGCAAGTATTTCTGGAATGAATACACAAATCCATTTTGCAAGTTTAAGTTGTTACGGATCGGGTTCCTTAAAGGGAACTCACCTGCATTATTATCCCGATACATTCAGGCATAGATGAACTCCTGAAAAAGGGACTTTATAAAAAACAAAAATCATGGATTTTCTAACAAGCAGCTGGTGTCTCTCTGACTCTTTTTCTCTCCCCGGAATGTCCACCAGAGGGCTCCTTGAGCTCTTTTTCCATCCAAAAACACTGCTGGCCACTGGGAATCGCCGGAGCTGCAGGAAGGAACAGAAAGTTGAGTTGCCTCCACGGGTTTACTCCATGAAAGGAAACAAAGCTAACGCAATCATAGGTGTGACCGGTGGAAAAACACTCGGGCCAGGGTGAGCAGAAGCAGCGTGGCACATTAGTGTCACTGGTCCTCGGCCGGAGTCTCGTCTAGAAAATGGAGCTGTTCCTACCAGGCATACAGAGTTGTTGGGAGGGCCAAATAAGAGCATTTTTAAATGCTCTTCGATACAAGGAAGGAATTCCTATAGGTGACAGGTAGGCTAACACGGTGCTGCTAATTCCAAAGACCGTCTTTAATTGCCTGTAGCCATAACAAACGTAGCCATAACATAACATAATTGTCTGTAGCCACTGTCTGTCTTTAATTGGCTGTGGGGATACAACTCTGCTTTAGGTTTAGCCCAGAGATGATTCCACCCAGTTTTCATATTGCCTAGATTTGAGGAATAAGACGTGTGAGGCAGTTTCTTGGGGATGGCAAGTCTCCCTCCACTTTAAAGGGGCTCCATTTACATTATTCCTTGTTTTAATAAACTGTAGGTAGAAGCATGAGACTTCCAGGATGCTCAGCTTTTAATTCAGTTCTGACAGTAACTACGCAGGATTAGCACAGACCCCACTGGTGTGGATGAAAAGAAGTTCTATGGAAAGTAGCTTTACTGGGTGATCTGATCATAAATTCCTAACTGAGCAGGTCATGGTGGGTACACACTTCCCGGGCCTATAACAGCTTCAGTGAAAGATTTTAAACCAGCCCTGTCCTTTGTTCTTGTATATCTAAGTTTAATGTCCCTTCGAACTACCAGAAGGAATGTCCCTCCAAAAGAGTATTCACCCTCAAGAGAACATATAACCTTGTTAATTACCCTGTCATCCAATTTCCACCTTGCTTTCTCCCGGTCTTCCTTCTGTCCCCTCCTGAATTTCAAATGCATAAAAGAAGCTGTGAAAACTGTTATTCCTTGGAGATCTTTCTGTTTTAAAATTTTTACTTATTTATTTTTAGAGAAGAAGGGAAGGAGAGAGAAAGAGAGAAATATCAATGTACAATTGCCTCTGGTGAATCCCCTGCTGGGAGCTGGTCTGCAACCCAGGCATGTGCCCTGACTGGAAACTGAACCTCAATCTTCTGGTTTGCAGGCCTGTGCTCAATCCACTGAGCTACATCAGCCAGGGCTTCCCTTGGAGATCTTGCTCCCTGGCATATATTGTCAGTTTAGCTCAAATAAACTTTTTAAAAATATATTTTATTGATTATGCTATTACAGTTGTCCCGTTTTGCTCCCTTTATTCCCTTCCACCCTGCACACTCCCTCCTATCTGCATTCCTTCCCTTTAGTTCCAGTCCATGGGTCATACATACAAGGTCTTTGACTTCTACATTTCCTATACTATTCTTACCCTCCCACTGTCTATTTTCTACCTACCATTTATGCTACTTATTCTCTGTACCTCTACCTCCTCTCTCCCCCTCCCACTCCTCCACTGATAACCCTCCATGTGATCTCCATTTCTGTGATTCTGTTCCTGTTCTAGTTGTTTGCTTCATTTGTTTTTGTTTTTAAGTTCGGCTGTTAATAGCTGTGAGTTTGTTGTAATTTTACTGTTCATATTTTTTATCTTCTTTTTCTTACATAAGTCCCTTTAACATTTCATATCAGAAGGCCTGGGTGATGATGAACTCCTTTAACTTGAACTTATCTGGGAAGAACTTTATCTGCCCTTCCATTCTAAATGATAGCTTTGCTGGATAGAGTCATCTTGGATATAGGTCCTTGCCTTTTATAACTTCGAATACTTCTTTCCAGCCCATTCTTGCCTGCAAGGTTTCTTTTGAGAAATCAGCTGACAGTCTTATGGGAACTCCTTTGTAAACAACTGTCTCCTTTTCTCTTGCTGCTTTTAATATTCTCTTGTTATTTTTAATCGTGGGTAACTTAATGATGATGTGCCTTGGTGTGTGCTTCCTTGGGTCCAACTTTTTTGGGACTCTCTGAGATTCCTGGACTTTCTGAAAGTCTATTTCCTTTGCCATTTTGGGAAAGTTCTTCATTATGTTTTCAAAAAGTTTTTAATTTCTTGCTCTTCCTCTCCTCCTTCTGGCACCCCTGTGATTTGGATGTTGGAATGTTTAAAGTTGTCCCAAAGGTTCCTAAGCCTCTCCTCATTTTTCTGAGTTCTTGTTTTTTCATTCTTTCCTGGTTGGATGTTTCTTTCTTCCTTCTGGTCGAAACTGTTGATTTGAGTCCCAATTTCCTTCCCTTCACTCTTAGTTCCCTGTACATTTTCCTTTATTTCACTTATCATAGCCTTCATTTTTTCATCTAACTTGTGACCATATTCAACCAGTTCTGTGGGCATCCTGATCACCAGTGTTTTGAACTGTGTATCTGATAGGTTGGCTATCTCTTTGTTGCTTAGTTGTATTTTTTTCTGGAGTTTTGATCTGTCATTTCATTTGGCCATATTTATTTTTGTCTTGGCATGCCTGTTACGTAGTGAGGGGCGGAGCCTTAGGTGTTTACCAGGGCGGGGCAACCTAGTTGCTGGGTTGTGATGCTGTCTGTGGGGATGGGGTCCGAGAGGGAAGGGTAACACTTGCTCAACTCCCTGCCGGCTTTCAGTCACTTCCCCCACTACCCCCAAACAAACTGGGCCCTTTTGGTGCTGGTTCCTGGGTGGGTGGGTTTGTGTACGTTCTAGGACCCTATGGGTCTCTCCAATGAACTCTCTTGTGAGCCTGGGAGTTTCTCCCGCACCTCATCCTGCACAGGTTGTTTTTTTTTTTTTTTTCCATCAGAGGTTTTTGAGGCTTTATTTCCCCACACTGGAACCCTGGGATGCGTGGTCTGTCTTGCTCCCCAGTTGTTCCTCCCAGTTTATCCACACACAAATGTGGGACACCCTGGCCCTCCAGCTGCCACCTTGCTGTGAGTCCTCTCCACCCAGGTGCCCATCTCTGCCCCTCCTACTGGTCTGGGTGAGTGTTTCTTCTTTAACTACTTGATTGTCAGACTGCCATACAATTTGATTTTCTGGCAGTTCTGATTGGTTTTTTGTTTTTAGATTTGTTGTTGTCCTTCTTTTTGTTGTGCGAGGAGGCACAGTGTGTCTACCTATACCTCCATCTTGGTCGGAAGTCCCAATGTGCCCCAGCCTCCCTTGTACATGTCCATGGAGAAGCACGATCACATGGGTTTTGACCATTTGGGATTTTCAGTGGCTCTCAGCCTGGCATGGGAATGGGTGCAACTGGAAAACAGAGTCCCGAGAACACCAGGTCAGCCTAATCCCCCTCTTGTCGCTGCATATCCTCACAAAGGCTTTGTTTCCAGTGGGTGGGGCCCAGGAACTCGGTTTTCTGGAATTGCTGATGTGCCAGGTTGAGGCTGTGATGACTAACATTTGTCCATCAATGGGATGTCTGCCAGCAGGGACTGACTGGCTGTAGCAAGACCCAGGCGTCGGGACTCCCTGGTCCCAGGAATTCAGGTGTGTGAAGCCAGTCTGGGGGAACTCAGCAGGGTCAGGAACCTCAGCCTGCACCTGAGTCTGGCCCCTCCGCTACTTTGTGAACTCACTCAGCTGAGTGGTCTACTTTTCCTTCCAAACAAGGGGCCTTTGTCATGATTCCAGAAAGATGTTGTAGTTTTGTTCCCATGAGGCTATTTAATCCTGGGGCTTTGAGCCAGGCTCTGGGGTTCAAATCCCGGTTCTGCCACTTCTCTAGGTGGGAGACCTTGAGCAAGTTGCTTAACCTCTCTGTGCCTCAGTGTCCTTATTTGTGGAGTGAGAATAATAAACCTACCTCATAGGGTCGTTGAGAAAGTTAAAGGAGCAAAAAAGAAAAGTTAAAGGAGAGTTAAAGAGCTTTGCATAAACACTTAATGTGGGGCTTAGCATGTACTAGGTGCTCAAAAACAGTGGCTCCTTCTAACAGAACACAAAGTAACATTGAACCAATCGTCTGCTTGCTATGCAGACACAGCTGCGGTTTCACTCGCTTAATTCCCACGACCACCTGGTTAGGTCCACATTGCCCCTGCTTCCCAAAGAGGAAACGACTCCAGGTGGCTGCAGGGCTTGTTCAGAGTCACACAACTAGGTCGTGGCAGAGCCTGACACAGTTTGCGCCGATGATTGCCACCATTTAGCCCGGGGCTGAAGAGCAAAGTCTGGGCTGATGCCTCTGTTTGCTCGCTTTGATCCATGCCCTTGTATTACAGTGCATCTCTTTGGATTTCAGCTCAATCAGAACCAGGTTATCTGTCTTGTAAACTCTTGCAGGGCAAAAGCCCCATCTGAGACATCAAATTTCTGCCACTCGACTTCCTTGATCCTGAGAAAACTGCCTGAGGTGTTTGTTCAGAGAAGAGACTCTCTGGCATTTCTGCTGGAGTCTGACTCAGGAACCATGGAGTGGAATTTAAAATCTGATTTTTTTTAAACCCCAGTAACTGGAAATTTTTTCAGATTAAGCCGGTTTGGAGCCTTTTGCTGTGTGGAATGAGAGCTCCCCCTGCCGGTGTGAAGAGGACCGACAGAGGTAGTCGCCCCCTTTTCCTACAGGTGTTTTCCTTGCCTTGTGATGAATCGGGCTTCTATGGAAAGTCACCTGACAGGGTGATCTGATCATAAATTCCTAACTGGGCAGGTCAGGGTGGGTAGTCACGCCCCTAGGCATATGACTTTTTTTTAGTAAAAGGTTCATCTTTACCTTCAGTAACCCCCATCCATTGTTTCTGGGCATCTAGGGTAACACACCTTTGAAAGAAGCAAAACCACCAAGAAAAACACATAATCTTATTATCCTGTCATCTAATCCCTGCTTTGCTTTCTCTCACTTTCATGTAATCTTCCTTGATTCAAAATGCATAAAAGAGGCTGCAAACTGCCTTTCTAAGGTTGCATTTGAGATCTTGCTTCCCAGCAACTGCCATCGGTTTGGCTCAAACAAAATCTTATAAAAATTCCTTATGGGGTTTGGACGTTTTTACATAGACAGCCTCAACTCTTTGTTTGTTCTGCCCTGAGGGTCACTATGAGCCCAGATCAGAGCTAGGCAGGGGCGAGGCCAGTAAAATGAAGGTCAAGATTCTCCCTGCTCCCCCCAAATTTAAAATTTGGATTGACAAGACACCTTCAGGTACTCGCGAGAAAAATGTAGGGTAGTGGGGCTGGGAGGAAGAATAGGAGTTTGAATACCGGTGGGCTTTGAGGATGGGGTGAGGGTAACTGAATTCCAAGAGTGCTCTGAGATTGGCTGACAGCACCCTCCTGAGCTGCCTAAGGCCAAGGAAAAGCCTTATGCCTTGCCCAGACATTGGCTTTGCAAACATCTGCTCGCCCAGTAGGAGAGAATGATGGTAAAGCTCAGAGCTACCTTTGACTGCTTTCCTACGGGGTCCCGGGACCTACTAGGTCTACAGTTCCCAAACCTGGCGCCAGGATTTTTGAATGGAACACAGCGACCTCTGCCGACCACCTTGGAAACTACCAGCTCGAGGTTGTTCGCAGTTTGAATGTCAGGTGGAGCCCCGCCCTTTGGGTGACGTAACAACTTTGCGAAGCTGGGCTTATGGCAGTTGTTCTGCTGAAAAGCAAGTTTCCTGCCCAAAGGAGCGCGGAACAGGAAATAAAGGTGGCGTCCAGGAAATTAGACGTTCACGCTAATTCCAGGGTCTGAGCAGTTGTGGTGTTTGATTATTTAAGAAGAAACTAAACTACGTTTTCTTTCAATTTACGTGCATTTTCAAGCAGCTACTAAATTGTTCGGACATACATACTTTTTAGTTGTTTTGACCTAACTACTTACTGAATGTAACTGTTGTTTTGTGTGGGAGGTGCTGTGAGAAAAATTACTGCAATGCCACAGGCACCTTGAACCCAGACAGCTGGGGACCCCTGCATTGTGCTCCTTACAGCTTTACCAAAAGCTGCCTCACTCGAGTCTAGGAGATCGTATCTCTGTTTTATAGATGAGTCAAAATAGACGAACTCATTTGCCTGAGGCGTCCCAGCCCGGGGTTTGGGACGTGGGTGGCGTCAGGGACATTTAAACCAGGTCCCGTGTGATTCTCGAAAAGGTGAATTGCCACTCCCCACCTCGAGTCAGTTCAGGTTTGTCCCCGGGCTGTGCAGAGGGCAGGCTGGGGCCAGCTCTTTCCATTTGTCATGCCCACCATCTTTCGGAAGAGCAGAGTCGGGCTCCTGAGGTTCCCTCCCCTGCATCTCAGGACCCCCCTTAGGGGGCTCGGACAGTAGCCTCCGTGTGTACTGCGGCTGGGGACCTCCCCCCTTCAGCTCCCTAGAGGCCGTCTCCCCACCCACTGCTGGTGCCCCTGTCAACCAAATCCACCTTCAGTCCCAGAGTCACCTCACCAGCTCAGACACTGGCCGAAGGACTTACTGAGTCCGAAGTTGTGCAAAGGATCCAGGCCCCACCGTTCCCGCTCTTCTGGGGGAAAAGTCACCGAGGGGCCGCTGCAGGCAGCCTCCTGGCAGGAGATACCAAGCCCTCTGGGGACCCGTGAAGCCATGAAGGGACAGCACACAGCACCCTCTCTGCTTGGACCGGAGAATTCTGTCTCGGTAGGAAGCTGCCTGACCCCAAAGCTACTTGCATTGGAGGGAAAAGAACTCATTGGAGGGAAGGTGGGGTCCCAGCTTCCCAAGGGGCGACTGCCAGCGTCATCCTGTGCAGCCAGGCTGCCTGGTTCTGGGGGACGCCGAGCAAGCCATATAGCCCCCCTGAGCCTCTGTTTCCTCCTCTGCAGAATGGGAATAAAAGCAGTACCTACTTCCTAGGATGGATCTGAGAATTTTAATACATTACTAAAGCTCAGCACACAGCTACGATACACAGTTAATGCACAACGACATTGTTAGTCATACGGCAAATATTTATTGAGCATCTACTATGCACGGAGGAGGCACTATGTTGGGCACTGGGGATGCTGCAGTGAACAAGACAGACACAAGCCCAGCCTTCAGACGCCTTGTATTCTAGCAGAGGAAGCCAGACCCTGAACAACAAACATAATACATAGATAAACTAGACAGCAGTGCCGTCCAGTAGAAGTACAATGTGAGCCACGTATATAATTTTAAGTTCTTTGGTAGTCCCAATTCAAAAGTTTTAAAAAAAAGTGAAATTAATTTTCCTAATTTTTAATTTAAAAAATTAAAAAAAATATTTTATTGAGTCTAGAGAAAGGGGAAGGGAGAGAGAAAGAGAGGTAGGGAAACACCGAGGTGTGAAAGAAACATCACTCCACTGCCTCTTGCATGAACCCCCACTGGAGACTGAACCTGCAACCCAGGCGTGTGCCCTGACCAGGAATCAAACCCATGACCTTTCGGTTTGCGGGATGACACCCAACCAACTGAGCTAACCTGGTCAGGGTTAAAAATGTTTTAAGCATTTAAAATTATACCTAATATATCCAAACTATTATCATGTGAACCAGTGGCACTAGCCATGGTTCAAGTCCTGAGTAGCCACATGTTGCCAGTGGCTATTATATTGAGCAGCACAGCTGTCCAGAATGTTAGGTGAGGGCCCAGCGGATTGAGTGCTGGCCTGAGAACCAGTGGGTCACGAGTTCAATTCCCAATCAGGGCGCATGCCTGGGTTGTGGGCCAGATCCCCAACTGGGGACACATGAGAGGCAACCACACATTGATGTTTCTCTCGCTCTCTTCCCCCTCTCTAAAAATAAATAAATAAAATCTTTAAATAAAATGAAGATGTAATTCAGGGTAAAGGGGACTGGAGCACCGGGCATAGGAGTGGACAGACTGCGAAGTCAGACTGGAGCTGACTTGAGGGAAAGAGCGGCTTTCATGGCTCCCTGACCTCGCCTGGCGGCAGGGGCCAATGGCACCTTCCCCCTCCCTCCGATGCCAAGCATGAACCAGGTCCTGCAGACCCCAGAGAGAAGTAGACCCTCCGGGCATGCCCCAGCCTGGGGACCGCCTCTCGGCACCACCTTGCTCACACCTGTGTGCACCCCTTGTTCTGGGGGCATAGGGCCACCTCACGGGACATGGGGCGGAATTTTGTCAAGGCTTTGACTGGAAGAGGGAAGAGGCGGGTGGGTGAGGGTGTGAAGATGAGGTCTTGCTCGGGGCTGCGATTAGGGAGAGGTGAGTAAAAGTGGGAGCCTATCTCTCCTTAAAATTTCGCAATTTTGTACACCAGAAATATTTGGCATTAATTTAAAATATACTTTACAGATTTATGAACCATAAAACTCATCCCTTTAAAGTACATAATTAGTGGGTCTTATATATTCAGAGTTGTAGAATGTCACCCAATCGATTTTATTTTTTTTAATTTTCAAAGATATTATGTATATATTTTTTAGAAAGCAGGGAAGGGAGGGAGAAAGAGAGGAAGAGAAGCATCAACATGGGAGAAATGCATCGATCCGTTGCCTGTCACACACCCTGAACTGGGGACCTGGCCCGCAACCCAGGCATGTGCCCTGACTGGGAATCAAACTGGCAAATTTTTGGTTTGCAGGCCAGCACTCAATCCACTGAGCCACACCAGCCAGGGAGGATGGATTCTATTTTATCCATCCACTTATACACTGATAGATATGTATGAGTTTTCTACTTTTTTGGCTGCTGTGAACATTCACATGCAAGTTGTGGTGTGGGCAAGTTTCGGATTTGCATTCATTTCCATTTTTAAATGTATTGTGTTAAAATATATTGTTTTTCTTGATTACTCAGTTTTTTGGTGCCCCCTTAAAATTCGCAGTCAGATGCCTGACTGGCTTTACCCTATTCCCATTCTGCAAGTCCCATCCCTTGCTAGCTGTGCGCCTTTGGACAAGATACTTACCCTCTCAGGACCTTGGACCTCAGTTTCCTCCTCTGTAGAATGGGGATAATTCCTATACCTACTGATGGCTGATAGGGGACACAACGACGTGTGTTTCACAACTGTCACTGTCCCCGGTACACCGTTGACTGAAGTCGGCTTTGCCCCTGGGGAGCCTGGTGTCAGGCCGGAGGGGGTGGGTCCCAAAGTGGATGTGACCTTTCCCTGCCCTCGAGGAGAGCTGGCCCACCTGCCTGAAACTCCCTGCTGCTTCCATTTCCAAGGGAAACCTGCTGTTTTTCTCTCCTGCCTCAGCCCGGACCTCCCTACAAGGTCCTTGGGGGTGGGACCCGATGCTGTCCCGAAGGGCCCCTCAGTTCCCAGCACCTTCCATCCCAGCTGCCCCGGGGGGGGGGGTCAATGCCACCTCCCCCACCCTGCGCTCTGCCCACTGCCGTGGAAGGCCGTGGCTCACCGTCCCTGTGCGGCCAAGAGGCCTGCACTTTGCAGGGCTGAAGTCCAAAGTTCAGTCCCTTTGCTAAGCACACGGATAAATATGAACCTTGGAGAATTTCCCCAGCTCCAATGTAAACAGAGCGGGCAGGGGCCCTGATTCACTGGCCGCTGGGGCCAGGGTAGGGGGTTGGGGGTACCCACAGGACTTGGCTAGTGGGGTTTGGGGGGGCGTGGGTGCAAGGAGCCTGGTTTGTGCCTGCTTGCCGGCCGGCTAGCGAGCAGACGGCCCACGAGGTGGGGGAGGTGGCCTGCTCGGTGGCCCCGGGCCTCGTGGCCCAGTGGCAGTGGAGCCATGGTTTCCAAACTGAGCCAGCTGCAGACGGAGCTCCTGGCGGCCCTGCTGGAGTCGGGACTGAGCAAAGAGGCACTGATCCAGGCGCTGGGCGAGCCGGGGCCCTACCTGCTGGCTGGAGATGGCTCACTGGACAAGGGGGAGTCCTGCGGCAGTCGAGGGGAGCTGGCCGAGCTGCCCAATGGGCTGGGGGAGACGAGGGCCTCCGAAGACGAGACGGACGACGATGGGGAAGACTTCACGCCGCCCATCCTCAAGGAACTGGAGAACCTCAGCCCCGAGGAGGCGGCCCACCAGAAAGCCGTGGTGGAGAGCCTGCTGCAGTAAGGACCCCTCCCATGTCCCCCGCTCCAAAGGGGCCTGAGGGGCCTGGCCTCAGCTCCTGGCCAGCCCTGCGGAGTCCCAAGTTCCATGAGCTGTGACCTTCAGCCTGGGTGTCGGGAAGGGGGACCAGGCCCATGAGCTCAGGGGGGGATCTTTGCTCGGAGGCTGGAGCCCCCACCTGGTCCTTCGCAGACTCCCAAGTCCCGAGTGAGCCAAAGCTTTCAGCCGGGTGCTGGGGAAGCGGCCACAGGCCCCAGGGGAGCCCCAAGATAGGGAGAAAGCAGGGGACTTTACAAATCAAGTGCCTGGAGAACCAGAAGGGGTGGGAATTTTTAGCTACGGCCATTCTTTCTACGCCCCGAACCCTAACTTCCCTGGTAAGCATTCAGACGGCAGGTTCCGGGGCCAGGAAGCACTGCTGGGGAGGGGGCAGGGCAAAGCTGGGCTTTGGGGGGCTCCCTGGACGCCTGAAGACACCAGCATTCAGCCAGGTGATTCTTACCTGAGGGAAGTAAAGCCTCAGGGCGAAGCCCCCTTCTTTCCGGCACTGCCTCTGGCCCCCCTCCTCGCCAGCCGGCGCCATTAGAGGCCTCCCCATTGTGGACCCCCATCCGCCGGCTGGCTCCCCATCTCTCGGAGAACTGAGCGGATACGAGCCCAATGCCTCCCCTCTCCTCAGCAGAGCTAACCTGGTTACTAATTACCCACAGGCTTTATTATTTCTCTTTTGTTTTATAAATTTATAAATGGCAAAATGCTCTGATAAGGCCTGTGATCATTAACTTGTAGGGATGGCGGCCTGGGGAGACCTGGGCCAATGAACCTCCTTCCACCCGCGGGGGTGGGGGGGTGGGGGATGGGGAGCGCAGCAGTGGAGGTGGGGAGAGAGGGGCTAGGGGCCCGCAAGGGCTGCCCCTTCCCAAAGCCCCCTTGACCTCCATCGAACGGCGGGGCGCCCGGAGAGGAAGTTACGGATCAGTCTGCTTTCCAGAGGAGGAAACCGAGGCCCAGAGAAGGGAGTAGCTTGTTTAGGGCCACCCAGCGGCGACCTCACCCCCACTGTTTAGTGCTCCGAATCACCAGGACTCAGGGGCAGGGGGCCAGGTGGCAGGGAGCGGGGTTTCTGAGGAAGAGTTCCAAAGACGGGACTTCAGGGGCACTATCTCTTTTCTGTCCAAGGTCCTGATCCCCGTTGGGGGTGGGGGAGGGCTAGATCCCCGCCTGGCGGAGTCCCCAGGGTCTGCCAGGGCCTCCTGAGGGCCTGGGCAGGGGCCAGGGGGGCAGACGGGCCCCTGACTTGGCAGGAAGTGCAGGGCAAAGGCCCTGCTGGGCTGCAGGGGAGGGGCAGAGAGTAGGGCATGGCAGACCCAGGGAAGGGCGACTGGGAGGGGATGGGGCTGGGCCAGCCCTGCTCGGGACCCTAGAGGGGACTGGGGGCTTCCAGGTGGCAGTGAGGGGCAGGGGGTGCCAAGGGTCTTTCTTACCTGGCTAGCTGGGGCCTCTCGATCAGCAGCCCCTTGGGCGGGATGGTAGGTGGGGGGAGGCTCGATCCACAGCACTTGAGGGGGGAGCAGAGGTCAAAGTGCTCCCTGGGGACTAGCAGAGGTGTAGAAGCTGAGGGAGAGAGGGAGACGTGGAGGAAGAGAGAGGACGTCAGGGGAGACAGAGAGAGGCCTGAAGAAGCAGAGCTAAGCAGAGCAGTGGGGGAAAGAGGGGCTCACACGTCGTGGGGGGAAAGGGGCTAGGGAGAGAGTAAGGTGCCCCAAGCTGAGAGGAGGCTGGAGTGCTCCCGCCCAACCTGATTGGGTTTTCTTTAATGCTAACAGCATGCTATTTACTTTCCATTTAAATTTGAGATGTTGCTATAAATTATCAACCAGCTCCTTGTTCCTGTGGAGTTTATAACTAACTACCTGGGTTACTTATTGTTCAGGTAACAAAAGGGATCCGAAACCACCCTGAGGGCAAAAAGTGGGGCCTATAGTCTCAGGGCGCTGGAAGGAGAGGGGTGGGGGACCCCAGACGAAGGCCTGGGCCGTGGGGGAGTTTGAAGCTGGAAAGGATGGAACAGAGGCAGGACTTCCGTGGAAGCCGCTGCTCCGGTGAAGAGTGTATGGGAAGAGGCAGAGTGGCTCCTGGGCCCCGGGTCTCCCCAGGTGCCCTGTGCGTGAGGCCACATGGCAGATGTCCACCCCTGGTTCACTGTGTGACCTTGGACACGTCTTTTCTCTGCCTACTGGACGATGAGAAAAATTCACACTCCCTGCCCTGCCTCTTCCTGAGGGACTGCCCTCCCTCCCTCCCTCCCTTTCCTTCAGTAACACTGACTTCGCTGATTCCCACCTCAGGGCCTTTGCACATGCTATTCCTTCTGCCTGGAACCTTCTATCCACAACCAATTCCTTCTCCTTTTGCTCAAATGTCACCTCCTCAGGGAGGACCTCCTGGACTGCTTCATCTAAAGATAGGCTCACCCCAGTGACTCTTCAATTCACTTCTTTCACGTTCTCCTGTCCCTTATCATTACTTTGTCTGTTTTCTATGTCCTGTCATGAAAACAAGCTCTTCAGGGGCAGGACTCCTGTGGCCTCATTCACCCTCTTACCCCTGCTCTCCAGCCCTGTAGGTGGCACACAGCACGAATGAACTAGTGACTAGGATTCTCTGAAGCCCTGGGGACCCACCTGCTGCTATGGTCAAGGGGGGAATCTGTACCCAGGGCTCCTTCCTGGAGCCTCCAAGGTAGAGATTCCTCCCAGTCCCTGAGCAGCTCAAACCTCAACCTCATAGGTCTCTGATCCTTTCCATTGGGCACTACCAAAGCAAAGAGACCTAGGAAGATGGTGGCCACGGTGGGACAATCTGACATCCCTGACAGAGGCCAGCCTGCCTGGGTTTGAATCCCAGCTCACTAACTGTAGCACAGGCAGGCAATTTCACTTTTCTGAGCCCCAGTTACCTCTGCAAGGTGGTGATAAGAACAAGGTTAAGTGGCCTGATAACATGTAGTGTGTATATGTAGTGAGTAAACGGTTGCTATTATGAGTTATCCCATTTGACAGATGAGCAAACGGAGGCTCAGAGAGGCAAACTGACTTGTCCAAGGTAACTCTTGCAAAACAGTCAGGCCAAGACTTAGACCCGGGTCCTGCCAACCCCACACTCTGCACGGCACCCTGGAGGCTGCACGCCTGCCCTTCTGACCCGCCACAGTCACTCTGGCTGTTCACTTCGCCATCAAGTCACCTCCGTGCAGTACTCCAGTGAACACAGGGGTGTACGAACGTGTCAAACCGTTTCCTCCTCCAGTGAGATATTTATTGTTAGCTCCATTCCACAGCTGAGGAAACTGAGGCACAGGGAGGCTGAGCAGCTTCTCGAGGCTGCCTGGAGAGTAGTGACAGAGCTGAGACTCCCACTGAGACGGATGGCCCCGATAGCCCCCACTGAGAGCTCAGCTCCCCTGCACACGCGTGGGTGGGCCTTCAGGGTGGTCTCCCAGCTCCACAGCCTTGGACGCACTGAAACCCCAGAGCCCAGCGAGCTGAGACCCCAAATCCCTGAACATCCTATAGAGCCTGGCATGGGTGGGAGGCAGATGTGGGTGGAACTTGCCCTGTGCTGGGCCCTCTTCCCCTGCTGTGGAGCCAGGGGTCCCGGGACTACCTTGTCTGTCATTTACTGGGCAGTGACTGTAGGCCAGGCCCAGGAAGCCTGTCCCCTCTTTGAACCGCATTCAGTTCTCCCAGGAGCACTACGGGGGTGGCAAGGGATTGCCAGTGCGGGTTTCCTGCCCTGTTCCAGCAGCGGGGTGCAGTGGTGAGACTGGAACCCAGGTCCCTTTGATTTTTTGGCCTGTGAGAGCGAAAACTGGGGATACCTGGAGACTTGGTCTCTTAGTTCTGAGCTGGAGAGACTGTCCCTGAACTGAAGAGCCAAGTCCTGGAGACTGTGTGTGTGTGCGTGTGTGTGTGCGTGTGTGTTGGGGGTGAGGAAACAGAGAGGCAGGGAGACCCAGAGACCACACTCGGGGCAGTGACAGTGCCAGGAGAGGCCCTGCGGAGAGGAAGGCTGGGCCCAGTCTCTCTGGGGAAGAGCGGAGGAGGAGGGTGGGGGCGCAGCCCAGCTCCAGAGTCAGATAAACATGTTTGCCGTGGAGCAGGAGGCTGGACTTTGCCCCGCCCTGCCCTCCCAGCTCTAACTGGCGCCCAGGGAGCGGGCGTGGTGGAAAAGCGGGGAACCCAGGAGACCCTGAAAGCAGGGAGACAGTGGAGCTTGGGGAGAGGTCTGGTGGAGGGGGGAGGGGTCCGCGCAAAGTGAATCCCGGCGAATTCACTCTGACAAGTGCGGCTCACTGCCTGAGCCTCAGTTTTCTCACCTGTGAAATGGACATAGGAGTCATTGTAGGATTTAAATGACTGGCTCTTGACACAGCATCTGGCTCACAGAAAATACTCAGGAAACATTAATTCTCTGAGCCATCATATTTATACAGACGGCATGTGGCTGTACTGACTGCCAACCACTTTCTATGTATCTGCCCCTGCCTTCCTTCCCTCCCTGCCCAGATGGGAACTGCTGATAAAAATGGAAGAAGTCAGAGGGCCAAAGCCGGTGAAAGGCTCTGGGCTCCGGAGTCTCAGATGGGCATTGTCCAGGAGACAGGCAAAGCTGGTCCTCTGAGAACCAGGAGAAGGGCCCGGGGGAAAAAGGCAGTGTGGGTTGGGAGGGTGGGTTTCGGAGCCCTGCAGGGCTGGTTTGCTTTCAGTATTTTAGAATTCCGTTTTAAATATCCTCTATGCATGTGTCGAATGTTAGGTAACATGTTTGATGATTTAAAGAGCAGGGGAGAGTGACAGAAAACGGCCCCTCTCCCGGTCCCTCACACCCCCTCCCCTCCCGAGGCCACCAGCGTTACCACGTCCTCTGTGTCCTTCCCCTATTTCATGCAAACACAAGCAAATGTGTAGGAATCTTTTATCTCACTTTAAACTTTACACAGAGAGCGGCCCAGCAAACCTACCAGACGGACTCTGCCCTGTTGGGCGCACGTAGCGCTTCCTGGGGGGGCTTTCGCGGTTGCTCCACCGGAGGCGCTGCACTTGGGTTCCTCTGCATTATTTTGCTGGACGCTTAGGGGGTTTCCGATCACTGGCTGTGGCCACGTCCAGGGTGACGCATCACTTCCTACACATGCCACTTGCCTCGCGGGCATGTATCATAAGTCTCGGATTCTAGAACCCACTGCTGATTCAAGAGTGTGAGAAGGGACTTCCGCCAAGATGGAGGCATAGATGGATGTGCCGTGCCTTCTCACACAACCAAGTTTAGAGACAACTGAATATTAGCAACAGAAAACACAGCCAGAACACGGAAAATTGAACTTTTCGGAAGTCCGTTAACAACAAATTCTTCAGCCTGACCGGTAAGGGGCGAAACCAGCAGCTGGCGGAGCAGGGTTGCACAGGAAAACTCGGTAGGACGGACTCAGGCGCGGAATCCAGAGGCGCGGAATCCAGGCGCAGGGTTGGACCTGGTGAGCGACCGAGCGAGCGACGAAGCGAGCGACCGCGGGGGAGACAGCGGGGGGTGCGGTGCTGCGTGTTGACTGTGGTCAAGCATTTGTGCGTGGGCGTACAGGCGAGGGAGTGGGCGGTTGGACCGGGCCAGCGGGTCCCCGCGGCAAGCGGCAGTGGAGGGCGCCGCCATTTCCCTGCTCTGACCCCACCTCCACATACAGCGTCATAACCCAGCGACTCTGAGTGGCCCGGCCCAGGTGAACCACCTAAGACGCTAATCCTCACCCAGCTGTGAGAAACAGCAGAGGGGGCCGCCATTTCCCCGCTCTGACCACGCCCCCACATACAGCGTCACAACCCAGCAACCTGGGAGTCCAAGGCGCTGCTTCTCACACTTAAAGGGTGCGAACAGACCAAAAATGTCGCAAGAAGATCTCAGAGCCCCAGAGCCAATAGATCTAAGCGATGAAGAAATAGCAAAACTCTCAGACGCACAGTTTAAAACATTGGTCATCAGGATCCTCACAGAACTGGTTGATTACAGCCACAAATTAGACAAATATATGAAAGTGAAACTAATTGAAATGAATGGAATTGCACAGGACACCAACAGCAATGAAAAGGAAACTGGGACTCAAATCAATGGAGTGGACCAGAAGAAAGCAAATAATGGCCAAACAGAAAAGAGTCAAGAAGCAAGAATTCAAAGAAATGAGGAGAGTCTTAGGAACCTCCAGGACATCTTTAAACGTTCCAACATCCGAATTATAGGGGTACCAGAAGGGGGGAAAGGCACAGCCACCAGTGGAAAACTTATTTGAACAAATAATAAAGGAGAATTTCCCCAATCTGGCAAAGGAAATAGATTTCCAGGAAATCCAGGAAGCTCAGAGAGTCCCAAAGAAGTTGGACCCAAGAAGGAACACACCAAGGCACATCATCATTACATTAGCCAAAATTAAAATGAAGGAGAGAATCCTAGAAGCAGCAAGAGCTAAGGGGACAGTCACTTACAAAGGAGTCCCCATCAGACTGTCAGTGGATTTCTCAAAAGAGACCTTACAGGCAAGAAGGGGCTGGAAAGAGGTATTCCCAGTCATGAAATCCAAAGACCTACAACCAAGATTGCTCTATCCAGCAAAACTTTCATTTACAATGGAAGGACAGATAAGGTACTTCTCAGATAAGATCAAATTCAAGGAGTTCATCATCACCAAGCCCTTATTATATGAAATGTTAAAGGGACCTATCTAAGAAAATGAAGATAAAAAATATGAACAGTGAAAGGACAGCAAACTCATAGTTATTAAGAACCACGCCTAAAACGAAAGCAAACTAAGAGGACAGCTAGATCAGGAGCAGAACCATAGAAATGAAGATCTCAAGGAGGGTTAGCAACAGGGGAGTGGGAGGAGGAGAAGGGGAGAGAAGGTACAGAAAATAAGTAGCATAGACAGTAGATAGAAAATAGAAGGGGGGGCAAGAATAGCATGGGAAATATAGAATCTAAAGGACTTGAGACACATGGTCATAAACTAAAGGGGGGGTAATGGTGGGGATGGGGTAGGGTGGAGGGGAATGAAAGGGGGAATAGAAGAACTGTAACAGCATAATCAATAAAAAATTTAAAAAAAAAAAAAAAAGAGTGTGAGAAGGCAGGCTCTGGAATCTGGGAGACTAGGTTTAAATCCCGGCTCAGCATTGGAGCAGCGGGCTGCTTTTCTCTGACATGTGTTTGTAACAGGGGCTCAGGACGGTGAGGGCTAGATGGCCTGGCTGAGACAGAGCAGGAAAGGAAGAGAGAATCTGTGTAGTAGAGGCGCCCTGCCACATCCATCCCCTCCTCAGCAACCAGAGGACAGGAACACCACCCGAGGACGGCCTCAGAGAGACTCCCGCCCCAGAGAGTGGGCTTCTGGTCCTCCAACTCGCATACTTTTCTTCCAGCAAGTCCTCTGAACGCCAGCCCATGACACTTCCCCTGAGACTTTGTTGCAAACCAGCTGCCTGCCCCCGTGCTGGGGGTAGACTGGCTGGCCGGGGCCACTGCCTCGGGTTGAGTGCAGACCGTCAGGGTCAGGACGCATTTCAGCCCCATGTGGTTGTATCCAGTAGGTGAGCTTAGAACTGAATCCCCTCAGCTGGGATAGGGGCTCTGCTGGGCTGGCCCTGTGACCTTGGGCGAGGGATGCAAGTGACACAGTGCTCTTAGCTTCAGTGGCCCAGGCTGCAAAGTGAAAGAATCATATTTCTCTCCTTTTTCAGACCTAATTTTTTTCCAGTAGGTCTCCCTCATCCATCCATCCACCCTCCCACCCAACTGTCCATTCAGTCTACCATCCATCCATCCACCCACCCTTCCACTTGCCCACTGGTCCACTCATCTACCACCTGTTTACCTGCGTACCTGTCCATCTGTCCATCCATCTACCCACCTATCCATTCACTCATTCATTCATGCAAACACCAAGCACATAATGTATGTCAGGCCTATTTTGGGAGCTTTACAGTCTCTCTCAGTGGATTAGACACAGTCCAAATAACCTTTCCGGGTGGGTTAAGAGGTCTCAAAAGGAGGCACAAAGGTGAGAACTGTCCCCATCAGGCCTGTGCTGCTTCCGGTGGCAGTTTGTTCATATGTCTGTGTGACCATTTCTAAACGTTTACCTGTTCTGGAGTCTGTGCGGGGCTGGCTGGAGCCTGTGACCATGTTTCTCCCATGTCTGTGTCCCCATGTCCACGTGTCAGTGTCCCTGTGTCCTGGCACATGTGCCCCTGAGTCAGGGTGCAGGCCCTGGGCTCCACACCAGCTTTCGCCCGCAATCCCTACCCCCAGGGTGGGCGGGGGTCCTAGCACCCAGGGCCCCAGGGAGCAGGCCCTGACCTTGCCTTCCTCCCAGGGAGGACCCGTGGCGTGTGGCGAAGATGGTCAAGTCCTACCTGCAGCAGCACAACATCCCACAGCGAGAGGTGGTCGACACGACCGGCCTCAACCAGTCACACCTGTCCCAGCACCTCAACAAGGGCACCCCCATGAAGACGCAGAAGCGCGCCGCCCTGTACACCTGGTATGTCCGCAAGCAGCGAGAGGTGGCCCAGCGTAAGTAACAACCAACTGCAGCCCTGTCTTCCCTGGCAGGCCCGGGACTGTCTGCAGCTTGAGGGTGGGGGCTGGAAGCTTCACCCCCCCTATTACTCAGACAGGCAGACTCAGGGGGCATCAGGGGGACTCAGTCAGCCTTTATTCCCTATTCTGTGCACAGCCCTCTGGGGGATGGAAGTCAGGTTGGTTTTGGGCATCCAAAGGTGAATAAACTGGGCCCCTGCCTTCCAAGAGCTGTGTGGTGGAGAAGGGGAGGCGGTCATTACCATACAGTGAGACATGTAATGTAACGTGATAAGGAGAACAGCAGGAGCTGTAGTTTCCGGCCCCCTCTCGGTGCGCTGGCTCAGTGCAGAGTGCCACAGGAAGTATACTTCGAGGTGTTGAGCTGGTGGTGGAGCTGGGGGGAATCTATTCTTCCTCAGGGTGGCAGGGGCATCAGGAAGGCTCACACTAGGAGTATGACATTTAGACTAAATCTTAAAGTGTGGGTCGAATTTTGACCCATGGAGATGCAGGGAAGGGTGTTTCAGGCAGAAGGAACAGCATGTGTAAAGGCTCAGAGACGAGGTACATGCTCAGGGAATCATCCACTGCCAACCCAGCACGACCTGGGCGCACTGTCTTTCAGGGAAGAGTGGATTTCCTCCCTCGGGCCTCGTACCCCGCCTGAGTGCACTTTCATACTTTTGAGCCTGTCTATGTACAAAATAACTTCTATTATTTCTTTTTATTAATTACACAGGTTTTTAAAAGGCAATACACATTGAGTTTTTAAGAAAAAGAAAACAAAGGTTTTATGATAACAATTTGATGACCTTCTAAAGCAGCCACTGGTGTTCTCAGTCTTGCCAACATCTTTCTAGAGGATATACTAGCCAAATCCTTGTATCCTGGACTCAGAATCTCCCTCCCCTTTCATAAAATTTCCCTGTCATTTGTCTGTCCTACATTCTTGGTGGCCTGCTCAGGGATAATCTGAGGGACTAGTTTCCACAAAAGTGGAACCAACTGACAAGGGCTGCTGGGGTATCTTCTCTCCTGGCGAACGCTACACTTTAAGCTCCATTTCCACGTCCGGCATGTTGAACAGAGCTCTGAATCTACTCAGGAGATACAACTCAATTTTCCTGTCCTACTCCACAACCCTATAACATTTTTCCTTTTTCTAATCCTTACCTAAGGATATTTTTTTTTAATTTTTAGATTTTACTTATTTATTTTTAGAGAGAGTAGAAAGGAGGGAGGAAAAGAGGGAGATAAACATTGATGTGTGAGAGATACATTGATTGGTTGCCTCTCACATACCCCCCAGCTGGGGACCTGGCCTGCAACCCAAGCATGTGCCCTGACTGGGAATCGAACCAGAGACCTCTAGGTTTGCAGGTCGGCACTCAATCCACTGAGCTGCACCAGTCAGGGTCCAAGGATAGTCTTTATAAAAACCGATTTTAGAGAGAGAGCGAGAAAGGGGAACAGGGGGAGGAAGAGAGAGAAAGAGAGAAACATCAATATGACAGAGAAACATTGATCAGTTGCTTCCCGTACATGCCCCAACTGGGCACTGAATCTGCCATGTAGGTATGTGCCATGACCAGGGATCGAACCCACAATCTTCTTGGTGCACAGGATGATGCTCCAACCAACTGAGCCACTCAGCCAGGATGGAAATTATTTTTTAAAAAAATTTTAAAGGAAAGATATTGAGCCTCCCTGTACCTCACCTATAAAATGGGATGGCATACATGTCAAATGTGACAAGTGCTGATGCTTACCTGGAGCCTCGTGAGATTCTATCCTGGCTCAGCAGAAAACCATGCAGGGGTTGATTAGTAATGCCTGCCATGGACACAGGCACGTGTGCTGTGTATCCGTCATCTCTGGCCTCGATGATTTCTACGTCTAACTGTGCACTCCTCTGGCCCAGCAAGCACCCTGGGCATGAGAAAGAATTGGGAGCACGGTCACAACCCGAGACGGGAAGGAGGGAGTGGCTGGGGCCCTGCTCACAGCTCTCTGTGTCCACAGAGTTCACCCATGCCGGGCAGGGTGGGCTGATGGAGGAGCCCATGGGAGATGAGCTGCCGACCAAGAAGGGACGGAGGAACCGTTTCAAATGGGGCCCGGCCTCCCAGCAGATCCTGTTCCAGGCCTATGAGAGGCAGAAGAACCCCAGCAAGGAGGAGCGAGAGGCACTGGTGGAGGAGTGCAATAGGTAGAAGGGCTGGCAGGTAGCAGGGCGGGCTGTGGTGGGGCAGGGAAGGCCGTGGGAGGGAAGGGCGGCTCTCAGTCTTGGGGGGGCACCCCAGTTTCCACTCCTGCTCCATGTCCAAAGCCTAGCTCTGTACCTGGCACACTCCCCACAACCCAAGCAGCTCGTGCGAGGGCGCTCATCTCATTCATCCTCACTGCAGCCCAATGGCAGTTCTGTCACTTTATGATTGGAGACTCTCAGAGAGGCTAAGTCACACACAAGGTTGCACAGCAGGAGTGGGACTGAAGCCCAGGTCTGCTAGCCTCAAACGCTCAAGGAGAGCCCTGCTCCTCCGGACTCTCCCCGCAGCCCCAGGAGAGGGTTCCTTTGTGCATGGCCGGGAGGCTCACCAGTGGCTATTTCTGCAGGGCTGAGTGCATCCAGAGAGGGGTGTCACCATCGCAGGCTCAGGGGCTGGGCTCCAACCTCGTCACAGAGGTGCGTGTCTACAACTGGTTTGCCAATCGGCGGAAGGAAGAAGCCTTTCGGCACAAGCTGGCCATGGACACTTACAGCGGCCCGCCTTCAGGGCCAGGCCCGGGCCCCGCGCTGCCTGCCCACAGCTCCCCGGGCCTGCCCCCATCGGCCCTCTCCCCCGGTAAGGCCCACGGTGAGTGCTGTGTGGGCAGGGGGATTGGGACAGTGGGTGGAGGGAGCCAAGGGGGACGTGGGAGAGTTGGGGAGCACCACCCCAGGTGGCGAAAGGCGCCCAAACCTCTTAGCACTTCGGTTTGGGTCCACTCCATTCTATTTACACGACTCTATCCACGCCACTCTTCTCCATTCAGCTGACACACCCCGTCATCCTCTCCATTCCGGTCTATCCACCCCGTTCCACCCACTGATCTGAGTCACTTCAGTTCAATCCATTCACTTCCGATGAAATCCACTCAACTCATTTCAGGTCAATTCAATTCCATTCTATTCCATTCAACTCACTACAACACAGCTTGTTCCTTCAAACTTGGTACAGTTTAACCCAATCCGATTCCCAACAGACTCAGTTTAAATATAATTCAAGGAAATTCAGTTAATTTTGTATAGCTCAGTTCAATTCAGTCCAATCTGATTTGATTCCATTCAATTCAACTCAAGCTCGATTCAGTTCGGGTTCAGTCCAACTGGATTCAGTTTCATTCAACTAATTCCTGTTCTTTCTATGCAATTCAGTTTGCTGCAGTTGAATGTATTCACTTCCGTTCGGTTCGGTTTAGCTTTTATTGAGCACCTACTGTATGTCAGGTGTAGCCCTGGGCAGTGGGGCCGTGGAGCTAGTAAAATGCAGCCCTTGTGTTCAGGGCTTGGAAGAAGCTGGCCCAGGGCCTGGCGGGAGGCCAGGCATGAAAGCGAAGTTTGCTGGCTGCATGAAGAAGAATGGGGCAAGGGGCTTAAGCAGACCGATGCGGTTTGGAGCAGTGAGGGCCCTGGAGGGCAGGCCAATGGGGTGCTGAGACTGGCTACTGCTCCTGCCCCAGGTGTGCGCTATGGACAGCCTGCCACCAGTGAGGGGGCAGAAGTGCCCTCCAGCAGTGGCGGGTCCTTGGTGACCGTATCGACACCCTTGCACCAAGTGTCCCCCACAGGCCTGGAGCCCAGTCACAGCCTGCTGAGCACTGAAGCCAAGCTGGTGAGTGTGCCTCCCCCTCTTCCCCTGGCTGGGAGAAGCAGTCCCCAGGGAAGCAGTGGGGGGCTCTGTCCTAACTCAGCTTGGCTTTCCCTCCAAGGTCTCAGCAACAGGGGGTCCCCTGCCTCCCGTCAGCACCCTGACAGCACTGCACAGCTTGGAGCAGACGTCCCCAGGCCTCAATCAGCAGCCCCAGAACCTCATCATGGCCTCCCTTCCTGGGGTCATGGCCATTGGGCCTGGGGAGCCCGCCTCCCTGGGTTCTACATTCACCAACACAGGCACCTCCACCCTGGTCATTGGTAAGCTGGTAGGATGGGGAGCATCTGGGTGGGGCCCCCTTTGCACTGCTGTGGAACCCAGGGCTCCAGGGAACTTAGTTAGACCTACTTCCTGCTGATATAATGAGCCAGAGGCTCAGAGAAGGGGAGTGACTTGCCAGGGCCACCTCAGTTAATGACAGGTTCTAGTGCAAAGGTACCTCCTGTCTGTCACAACTCCTCCCCCAACCCACTAGCTCTGGGGGGAAGGGAGGGCACCCCAGAGGGCCTGGGGAGGCAGTGGATGCAGTAGTCTGGCTGACCCCCGCCCCTCCTGCTCCAGGCCTGGCCTCCACGCAGGCACAGAGCGTGCCGGTCATCAACAGCATGGGCAGCAGCCTGACCACCCTGCAGCCTGTCCAGTTCTCACAGCCGCTGCACCCGTCCTACCAGCAGCCACTCATGTCTCCTGTGCAGAGCCACATGGCCCAGAACCCCTTCATGGCCACCATGGCCCAGCTGCAGAGCCCCCACGGTGAGCACAGGGGGAGGGGTGATCTCCATGCGAGTGTGCTGTGTGCGAGTGGATCACATCTGGGTGTTCATCGGTGTTCAAGGTGCACACCCATGTCTGAGGACACAGGTCCCAGTCTCTCTCTGAGCCCTTGGGGCTGTATATATTTTGGAATTCACTACTTTCAGATTTTCGAAAGGTACGTTGGTGAACACACCATAGATTACATAACTTTCCCAGTCGGGTTTGGGGGTCACACTCTCACCAAGCACTATGATTTGATTTCTGCAGCAAAAGGTAAAATTCCAGCAAGTATATATATATTTTTATGGGTCATACATACAAGTTCTTTCGCTTCCACATTTCCCATACTATTCTTAACCCCCCCATCTGTTTTCTACCTACCATTTATGCTACTCATTCTCTGTACCTTTCCCCCCTCTCTTCTCCTCCCACTCCCCCACTGATAACCCTCCATGTGATCTCCATTTCTGTGGTTCTGTTCCTGTTCTAGCTGTTTGCTTAGTTTGCTTTTGTTTTTGTTTTAGGTTCGGTTCTTAATAATTGTGTTTGTTGTCATTTTACTGTTTATATTTTTATCTTTTTCTTAGATAAGTCTCTTCAACATTTCGTATCAGAAGGGCTTGGTGATGATTAACTCCTTTAACTTGAACTTATTTGGGAAGTGCTTTATCTGCCCTTCCATTCTAAATGAAAGCTTTGCTGGATAGAGCAATCTTGGATGTAGGTCCTTGCCTTTCAAGACTTGGAATACCTCTTTCCAGCCCCTTCTTGTCTGCAAGGTTTCCTTTGAGAAATCAGCTGACAGTCTTATGGGAACTCCTTTGTAGGAAACTGTTTCCTCTTCTCTTGCTGCTTCTAAGATTCTCTCCTTCTCTTTAATCTTGGGTAATGTAATTATGATGTGCCTTGGTGTGTGCTTCCTTGGGTCCAACTTTTTGGGGACTCTCTGAGCTTCCTGGACTTCCTGGAAGTCTATTTTCTTTGTCAGATTGGGGAATTTCTCCTTCATTATGTTGTCAAATAAGTTTTCAGTTTCTTGGTCTTCCCCTTCCCCTATAATTCAGATGTTGGAACATTTAAAGATGTCCTGGAGGTTCCTAAGCCTCTCCTTGTTTTTTGTTTTTTGTTTTTTTAAATTTTTTTTATTGATTATGCTGTTATAGTTGTTCTATTCCCCCTTTCATTTCCCTCCACCCTACCCTCCCATCCCCACCATTACCCCCCCTTTAGTTTATGACCATGTGTCTCAAGTCCTTTAGATTCTATATTTCCCATGCTATTCTTGCCCCCCCATCTATTTTCTATCTACTGTCTATGCTACTTATTTTCTGTACCTTCTCCCCCCTTCTCCTCCTCCCACTCCCCTGTTGCTAACCCTCCTTGAGATCTTCATTTCTATGGTTCTGCTCCTGATCTAGCTGTCCTCTTAGTTTGCTTTCGTTTTAGGCGTGGTTGTTAATAACTATGAGTTTGCTGTCCTTTCACTGTTCATATTTTTTATCTTCATTTTCTTAGATAGGTCCGTTTAACATTTCATATAAGGGCTTGGTGATGATGAACTCCTTGAATTTGATCTTATCTGAGAAGCACCTTATCTGTCCTTCCATTGTAAATGAAAGTTTTGCTGGATAGAGCAATCTTGGTTGTAGGTCTTTCTTGGATTTCATGACTTGGAATAATTCTTTCCAGCCCCTTCTTGCCTGTAAGGTCTCTTTTGAGAAATCAGCTGACAGTCTGACGGGAACTCCTTTGTAGGTGACTGTCCCCTTATCTCTTGCTGCTTCTAGGATTCTCTCCTTCATTTTAGTCGTGGGTAATGTAATTATGATGTGCCTTGGTGTGTTCCTTCTTGGGTCCAACTTCTTTGGGACTCTCTGAGCTTCCTGGATTTCCTGGAAGTCTATTTCCTTTGCCACATTGGGGAAGTTCTTTTTTATTATTTGTTCAAATAAGTTTTCCACTTGCATTTTCTCTTCCCCTTCTGGTACCCCTATAATTTGGATGTTGGAGTGTTTAAAGATGTCCTGGAGGTTCCTAAGCCTCTTCTCATTTTTTTGAATTCTTGTTTCTTCATCCTTTCCCATTTGGTCACTTTTTTCTTCCCTCTGGTCCACTCCATTAATTTGAGTCCCAGTTTCCTTTCCATCACTGTTGGTTTCCTGTGCATTTCCCTTCATTTCAATTAGTTTATCCTTCATTTGTTCCTTTAATTTTTTACTAAAATCAACTAGTTCTGTGAGCATCCTGATCACCAGTGTTTTGAACTGTGCAGCTGAAAGTTTGGCTATTTCTTCATTGCTTAGACTTATCGGCTCTGGGGTTTTGAGTTCTTCTTGAGCCATAATATTTTGATCTGCTCGCACCTGTTACGTTCTGAGGAGCAGAGCCTAAGGTGTTCACCAGGGCGGGGCCACCCAGGTCACTGGGTTGTGATGCTGTATGTGGGGGCGGGGTCAAAGGGGAGCAATAGCGGTCCCCTCTGCTGCTTTCCGCTGCTGGGGCCTGTGCAGTCTGACTCAATGCTTACTCCTTCGCTGGTTTATCTGTGCGCGAATGCATGACTGCGGTCAGCCTGCTGCCTTTCGCCCTCTGTGGGTCCGCATGTTGCTACTCCACACCTGGGATCCACCCACGGCTGCCTGTGCACCTGGGTCACATGCCCGGGTCAGTCCAGTGGATCTTTTCTGCCCGACCCTGCTCTGCTGCTGGCTTTGCCCCTCTTACCCGTCTGGCTGAAAGGTTTGTTGTTGTCAGACTTCGCATAATTCAATTTTCTGTGTTTTGGCTACTTTTTTTTTTTTTTTTTACTAAAACTCTGTTGTCTTTAAACTTGGTTGTGCGAGAAGGCACAATGTTTCCACCTACGCCTCCATCTTGGCGGAAGTCTCTCCCACTCCCGTTGTGTTCAGGCGGTAGGAGGAGATGGGTTTGGGTTCCTGGCCTTTCCCAGGCTTCTCTCCACCCAGCCAGGCTGGGCAGGCCCTGGAAGTTGGGGAGAGGGTCCAAACCCTCTATCTGGAGCTCCGTGTTGGAAATCAGCCCGAGTCCCATCAGGCCATTCCCAGGTCTCGCACCCCACCTCCCCCAGAGCACCCAGCCCTGAGGCCTCCTGGGAGATGTCCGGCCGAGCCCAGGGTGCCACATCTGTATCCTTCTCTCTCTTCCTCTGTCTTCTCCCTCCCGCACAGCCCTTTACAGCCACAAGCCAGAGGTGGCCCAGTACACCCACACGGGCCTGCTGCCCCAGACCATGCTCATCACCGACACCGGCAACCTCAGTGCCCTGGCCAGCCTCACACCCACCAAGCAGGTAAGGCCCAGGGCTGCCCCAGCCCCTCCCTCCGGCCCCTCCTCAGAGAACCCCCTGGGGACTCAGGAGGCTGCTGTGTTCCCCAGGTCTTCGCCTCAGACACCGAGGCCTCCAGTGAGTCTGGGCTTCACACGCCAGCATCTCAGGCCACCACCATCCACATCCCCAGCCAGGACTCTGCTGGCATCCAGCAGCTGCAGCCTTCCCACAGACTCAGCGCCAGCCCCACAGGTGCGCAGCCGTGCCCCGCCCTCCCCTCTGCTGTGTGGGCAGCACGTGGGACAAACGGGGTGCGGGGCAGGAGGCGGATGTGGGAGGGCACCCTGTGCTCCCCTGGAGTGAGTCAAGAGGGGTGTGAAAAATGGGAGCATCTTACAGAAACATCTCATCGACCTGGTTGAGGAACAGAACGAAGTCATGGAAGAGGAGGAAATTGGGTGGATGGGGGCCAGAAGTGGCTCACGGGTGTGCCGGTTTGGTTTAGGGTTTAGCATTTTTTGAATCATTGCCAACACTTAAAAACCAGGGGCTTTCACAAAGAAATCCAGACTTCTCGGGGGAAATTGGAAGGACTCATGTTCCCACACAGTGACAGAGTGTGGGCTTACCAGGCTACCGCGTCCTACTCAACCCATTCATTTCCCACCCCTGCAATCTAAGTCTGCAACCTACAAGGTCACAGTGCAGACCAGGCAGGTTACAGCCAGGCTGCTGCTGGGCTCCAAGGCCTGGGGCTGCTGCTTACTGAGTGAGTGACTCTGGGCAAGTTGCCCGCCCTCTGCGAGACTCCGGTTCCTCCACGCAGCCCTGGTGGCTGCAGAGACAGTTACCAAGGGATTCGTGGTCCAGGCTCCCTGCTTTCCCCACGAGGCACATGTCATCATCCCCATTTTACAGATGAGAAAGCAGACACTTGAGGTGAGGGACTTGGCCTCGGCTCTGACAGCTACGAGGTGGCAGGGTCAGGACTTGAACCCAAGTCCCAACTCTGAGCCTACTCTCTCTTAACCATCTGAATCGGCCAGGCTTCTCCCGAGACAGAGAAGCAATGGGAATACATGTACATTTAAGGAAGTGGTTCACACGACACAGCAGGGGAGGGGGCTGGCCGTGCAGGCAGGAGTGGACGCTGCAGTCCTGCTCCTGCTCCCGAGGCCTTCAACTGATTGTGCAAGGCCCACCCACATTACTGAGGGGCATCTCCTTTACCTAAAGGCAAGTGACTGTAGGTGTGAAAACAAAATGCCCTCCCAGCAACCCTTGATTAGTGTTTGGGTCAGTGACTGGGCACTACAGCCTAGCCAAGCTGACACATGTCACTGGGGCTTCTCCCACATTCCCACTAAAACGGCATGGGGAGGCTACTCTCTGGGTGGCCCCAGAGCCCAGCTGGGGGTTAATAAGACAAGGTCCCACCTCTCCTGTCCCAAGCGCCCCCAGGGATGAGTGGGAGGGGTCAGCATGGGCTTGGCGGGCGGCCAGCAGCTTCATTTGCCTCCGCAGTGTCCTCCAGCAGCCTAGTGTTGTACCAGAGCTCCGAACCCAATGGCCACAGCCACCTGCTGCCGTCCAACCACAGCGTCATCGAGACCTTCATCTCCACGCAGATGGCCTCTTCTTCCCAGTAACCACAGCAACCGCCTCCCAGGGCCTGGCACTTGGAGTGTGTACGGCCTGCTGGGGTTGGGGGTGGGGTGGCCAGAACATCTGAGCCGGCACAACTTTTGCTCCCACGGAGCTGCTGCCCTTCCCTGGAAAACCGTGCCTGGGTCCCCACGCATCCCTGCCGATGTCACAGAGGGAGGGTCCTGAGGTGCCCCAATCCGAGCAGGGCTGCTTCAGTGCACAAGGGGGCCTGTGGGGAGTTGGAAGGAAAGCCTGATCCTGGCAGGGCACGGGAGGGGCTGCTCCTGCCACTCTGGGTAAACCTTGTCCCTCGGAACAGAGCGGGACAGGCTTGGGACTCTGGTGCCCCCAGCTTGGGCCTGCAGAGAGCCCCAGCACCCCAAAGGGAACTCTGCCAGCCGCTCTTCTCAGGACACAAGCCTCTGTAACTGTGACTCACTGAGCTCCAAGAGTGGCTCCACCCTGTCACCTTTGCCCTGTCCAGGCCACTCCATCCTGTCCCCCTTCCTTCTATTAACCCACATGCCCACTGGAACCCTCCCCCATGCCCATAACTGAGGGGCTACCCTGCCAGAGGGCCTGCGGCTCAGATGCTGATGGCAAAGGCACAAGAGGCTCTCCAGCTTCCCTCATCCTGAGCCATCCCGTCTCCAGGACCTCATGACCTCCCTTCCAGTTTTCTGGGACAGTTGTTCCCTCGTTCCCAAGCACCACGCCTTCTGATGCCAGCCTGGCTTCCTGCCTCTGCTGAGAAGCCCCTCAAGGCTAGGAAGTCATTCTTGCTCCTGTGGGAGCCTTGCGACTCCGTACCTGGTGCTAAGTCCTGGGGTGGCAGCTCCTCTGGGCTCTGGGGCCCTGCAGACCCTCTGCTGGTCGGGGGAGAAGCTGCTGAGCTCAGAGGGCAGCAAGGCCTGAGCAGCTGGCAGAACAGAGATGCCCAAGAGAAGAGAGGTGACACCAGCAGAGAGGGGCTACCTGTGTAGACCAGACTGATGCCTGGAAGCCTAGGGGCCTGGATGGCTGAGGGATGGGGCGAGGTCCAGGCAGATGCAGCCCCAAAGAGCCTGAGAGTGTACACCCAGGGCTCTGAGGCTGCAGCAATAACCTGGCCCTCGGAGACCACTTCCGTCTCGGGGCTGAGGCAGCATTGCAGCCCCTGCAGCTTGCAGCCAGCTAAGGGCGAGCCTGTACATTATTTAACTTTTAGTAAAGTAAACAAGGAATGTATTAGAAGTTTCTTGCTTGTCCACATGTCACCCGGATGGGCTGGGCAGGCAGGCGGAGGCGGAGGCGGGAGGAGGCAGGTCCAGCACACACACTCCCACACGCCACCGTCTTTCTTGCTCTGCTGTATCTCCAAGGCAAGGGAACAAAGCCAGAACTTTACCTTCACCTTGACCTTCTACTCCTTGCAGGATAGCCCTGGGGCACAAAACCCAGCCCACAAGTGCTGTGACACTTTCTTAAGTCTTAAAGCTGGGGTGCAGAAACCCACCTTGGATGTAGGCAGGCAGACTCTCCTGTGGGATGTTTATTTAAGTGTCTCATTGAGACTCAGCACTGATCAGGAGGCAGCCCCCAAGTTGCTTTGTCACAGGTTCTGTCTGACAATTTATTTTTGATAACCTGTTAAGACGCGATCGTGAGGCATGTTCACAAACGTGGATGGAGAAAATCCTGGAAAATGAGGGGATAAAAACCTCTCCTTTTTCAGACAATGTTACATTCGGTCTATGTAGCACAGAGGGAGAAGTACAAACTGTTTTGGGCCTTGGCGCCTCGGGGACCCCTCCCTCATTTCCTTATGGCTGTCCCCCACACTAGGCTGAGGAGGGGGAGAAGGAAAAAGTCTCCCTTCACTCACCCCCCACAGACAGGACCGGGGAGATGGGGCTTTGCCACTCTGCATCAGTCCTGAATAACTGGAAGGCTCCTTCCTCCCGAGACCATGGAATGTTCTGGTACCACAGGTCTGCCCCAGCCCCCGGGGGAAGCACAGGAGGTCAGGCTTTGCTTAGGCTTCTCACTCTATGACCATGGCTTTGCCCTGACTCTTGGGCAAGCCCAAATCATGGGTCCAGGGTCTGGACGCGCCAGCCGAGCCCTTGGAAAGGCCTGTCGCAGTGGGTGCCTCGTCACTGGGACTGGCTGGGCCCATTTGCAGGCGCGGCTGCTACCCTCTTCGATGGTGGGCATGGGGAAGCCTCGCTGGCCTTCTTCACCTTTTTCTTCTTTTTCTTCTTTTTGGTCCCAAGTGACACGTCTCCGTTGAACTTGGTTGACTCCTTTTCCTGCTTCCCGACCGTGGCCTTGTTTGCAGTGGTGGTGGCTGTGGTCAAGTCCGCACTGGCCTCCTTCTTGGCTTTCTTTTTCGACTTTTTTTTCTTCTTCTTTGCCTCCTTTTCCACCTTCTCAGGGCCATGGATGGCGGACTGCTGGAGAATGTCAGAAGCTGACACAGCAGCCTCCCGGCACCGCTGCTTCTCCTCATCACTGTCCTCGCTGCTGCAAGGAGAGGGCAGTCTGGGTCAGCTGGGATGGAGCCCCACAGCTGCCACCAGAGAGAGGCCACAGGGGCAGGCAGGAAGAGAGCCCGGGCTCAGGAGTGAGGCAGACCTGGGTTCCGACACTGGCTTCTCTGCCTCCTAGCCAGGTGACCTCTGGAGTAACCTCTCTGACCCTCCACGTCTTCATCTACAAGACGGGGATCTTCACGGACCCCAGGCGTCACAAGGATGTCCAAGGGGTGAAGCATCTGGCACACACAGGTGTTCGAAAAGCAGTAACCCTCCAAAGCCAACCCCCGGTTGAACCTCTTCCCCTCCCACGGAGGGTACCATTTCTACCTGACAGGAGCTCCCCAAAGGGGCCCCTCCTCAGCCTGGACCTACTGAAGTCTGCTTGGCTATTCCAGGACACTGGCCAACACAGAAAACGGGCAAAGACAAGGGACCTGGAGGAGAGGGTGTGCGACCTCACCTGGAGCTGGAAGGCCACCGCTTTTGGCGGGGCTGGGGAGCAGCTTTCTTCTCGGGGCCTTCAGGGACAGAGGTAAAGAAGAGGCGGAAGCCTGAAACCCAAAGGGTCAGAGTCAGCACGGCCAGGTGCCGGCCCCATGCCCAGGTGCCAAGGCTGCCCTGTCTGCTGCCCTCAAGGCGCTCCTAGTCCAGAGGCGAAGACCCCGGACCCACTCTGTCTGACCACAAAGTGACGCCTCGTGTGATGACGGGCACGCTTGGAAACAGCTGGGGCCGGAGGACGGGGTGCTGAGGCACAGCAGCTGCCAAACCAGGTCGGCAGCGTGGCAGCCAGCAGGGGCCTCCTGCCTGAGGAAGCTTCAAAGTAACAGATGAGTTTGGCACGGGACAGACTCAGACAGGCAAGGCTGTGCAGTGTGGAGGAGGCGCTCCTGCTCAGGGCCAGACAGGGAAGGTCAGCTCAGGCCAGTGCCTTTGTGCCTCAGAGCTTCAGTGTCCCTTCCGGTGCCCCCCTAAGTGGGGGTGTCATTATTTTACCTGCCTCGGAGCAGGCTGCATGGATGAGAGATGGTGATACAGCAACACTGTCTCTCCCAGCTCCAGACACTCGGCAGGTGCTCACTGAACACGGAGATACTAACAGCGTAGCTACTCACCATCATCCTCCGAGGGGGCTCTCCGTGCCTCAGCCTTCGTTGGCTCCTTTACAACCTCGGAGATGGTAATGGAGCTAAGGGAAGAGGAGATGGTTGATTTAGGATGAGGTTTTGGGTACCAACAGACATTTAAAATTTTTTTTTATTTTACTTTTTTGATTTTAGAGGGGAAGTGAGGGAGAGAGAGGAGGAGGGGAACATTGATGCAAGAGAGAAACAGGGATCAGTTGCCTCTTGTATGTGCCCCGACCAGGGGACCGAGCTGCAACTCAAGAATGTGGCTGGACCAGGAGTCAAACTGGCGACCTTTTGGTCTACAGGACGATGCTCAGCAAACGGAGCCACACAGGCCACGGCTAAAAATGTGAAACATTTTTTTTTAAATGGAGGGGATGTGACATGTCATCTTAAATGCAAAGGCAGACAGCACACTGGCCTGAGGCGCAGGCCAACCCTGTAGCCATAACCTGCCGAACAGCCCCCGCCAGCCCACGCAGCTCTTCATTTGCTTACACCCCACTTTATTCTAGAAAATGCTGAGGGCTTTTAAGATACTCACAGCACAACATGAATATTCAAGGAGGGAAAAGAGAAAATAAACGCAGGAGGGACGGAAAGAGCCAAAGTGTGCTTGAGAAGTCCTGTACGCTAGCTAGAGAGAGGACACGCATTTTACCCGGAGCTTCCAACAGCAAGCAGGAAAAGGGAAATGGGGCCAGTCTGGAGAGACGGTTAAGAGGCCTGCTTAAAGAGCAGGGTGGGGACCTGGTTTTAATTTTTTTAAGAAAATTTTATTTTAAACTTCTTTCATTATTTATTTATCTTTAGAGGGGAAGCAAAGGAGAGAGGGAGAGAAATATCAACGTATGGTTGCCTCTCGTGCATCCCCTGCTGAGAACTGGCCTGCAACCCAGGCATGTGCCCTGACTGGGAATCAAACCACAATCCTTTAGTTTGCAGGCCAGCACTCAATCCACTGAGCTACACCAGTCAGGGCTATTTTTAATATTTAAAAAAATTTGAGATAGCTGCAGATTGATATGCAGGTCCAAAAAAACATACAGATGCCATGTGCTCTTTGCCCAGTTTCTCCCTATGGTTACACTGTGCATAACGTCATTCAGTATTGCGGCAGAATGCTGACACTGACACTTGATATAATCCATTGGCCTTATTCCCCCCCTTCACTCCCCTCTGCCCTGCACATACCCTCCTACTCACATCCCCCCTCTTTAGTTCATGTCCATGGGTCATACATATAAGTTCTTTGGCTTCTACGTTTCCTATACTATTCTTACCCTCCCCCTGTCTGTTTTCTACCTACCATTTATGCTACTTATTCTCTGTATCTTTTCCCTCTCTCCCCCTCCCACTCCCCCACTGATAACCCTCCATGTGATCTCCATTTCTGTGGTTCTGTTCCTGTTCTAGCTGTTTGCTTAGTTTGCTTTTTAGGTTCGGTTGTTAATAATTGTGAGTTTGTTGTCATTTTACTGTTCATATTTTTTATCTTCTTTTTCTTAGATAAATCCCTTAAACATTTCATAAAATAAGGACTTGGTGATAAACACCTTTAACTTGACTTTATCTGGGAAGCACTTTATCTGCCCTTCCATTCTAAATGAAAGCTTTGCTGGATAGACCAATCTTGGATGTAGGTCCTTGCCTTTCATAACTTGGAATACTTCTTTCTAGCCCCTTCTCGCCTGTAAGGTTTCTTTTGAGAAATCAGCTGACAGTCTTATTGGAACTCCTTTGCAGGTAACTCTCTCCTTTTTTCTTGCTGCTTCTAAGATTCTCTTCTTATCTTTAATCTTGGGTAACTTAATTATGATGTGCCTTGGTGTGTTCTTCCTTGGGTCCACCTTCTTTGGGACTCTGAGCTTCCTGGACTTCCTGAAAATCTATTTCCTTTGCCAGATTGGAAAAGTTCTCCTTCATTACATTTTCAAATAAGTTTTCAATTTCTTGGTCGTCTTCTTCTCCTTCTGGAACCCCTATAATTCAGATATTTGAAAAGTTTAAAGATGTCCTGGAGGTTCCTAAGCCTCTCCTTGTTTTTTTTTTGAATTCTTGTTTCTTCATTCTGATTTGGTTGGATGTTTCTTTCCTCCTTCTGGTCCACACTGTTGATTTGAGTCCCGGTTTCTTTCCTATCACTATTGGTTCCCTGTATAGTTTCATTTCACTTTTCATTGCCTTCATTTTTTCCTCTAATTTGCGACCAGGAGCTACTGAGCCTCCTGACCACCAGTGCTTTGAACTGCGCATTTGATAGGCTGGCCATCTCTTGGTTGCTTAGTTGTATTTTTTCTGGAGCTTTGATCTGTTCTTTCATTTGGGCCTTTTTTTTTTTTTTTTTTTGGTCTCAATGCGCCTGTTATGTAGTGAGGGGTGCAGCCTTAGGTGTTTACCAGGGCAGGGTAACGCACGTCACTGTCACTTCATTGTGATGCTATATGTGGGGGAGGGGACCGAGAGGGAACAATGGCACTTGCTCTGCTCTCTGATGGATTTCAGTCACTTCCCCAGCTTCCCCCAAGCAAGCGGGGCCCTTCTGGTGCTGGTTCCCAGGTGGGTGGGCTTGGGTACGTTCTAGGACCCTGTTGGTCTCTCCAACAAACTCTCCTGTGAGGCTGCGAGTTTCTCCCGGCACTTCAACCCCCATAGGTGTTTTCAATCGGTGGTCTGAGGCTTTATTTCTCTGCGCTGGGACCTGGAGGTTGCAAGTTCTGCCTCGCTCCCCAGTTGCTCCTCCCAGTTTATCTGCGCTCGAATATGGGCCTGCCAACTGCGGTGTTGCTGAGAGTCCTCTCTGGCTGCCCATCTCCACCTCTCCTACCAGCCTGGATGAATGTTTCTTCTTTAACTCCTTGGTTGTCAGACTTCCAAACAGTTCAATTTTCTGTCATTTCTAGTTGCATTGTGTTTTTAAATTGTTGTTGCCCTTCTTTTGGTTGTGCAAGGAGGCACAGTGTGTCTACCTACGCCTCCATCTTGGCCGGAAATCCCCAGAGGCCTGGGTTTTGGATTCTGGCCTTGTCATTTACTAGCCGTGTCCCCTTAGGCGGGTGACTCCATCTCTCTGAGCCTGTGCTACCCATCTGTACTCTGGGAGTCCCTAGGTCTTAGGGCTGTCACAGGATTAAGGGAGACAGTGGGTGCCCAACACTCGCACAGAGCCCGGCCACGGCAGGTAGTCAGTGAATGGCAGCTATCAGGACGACTGCTGCCGTCACAACCCTCCCTGTTTCACAGGCCCTCTGACCAAAATAAACCACCTCTCCAGAAGCACAGAACAGGGAGAACTGCCAAGACCAGCAAGCATGTCTCTGGTGACTGCTGACAGAGGAGTCACTGTGCACCACAGAGAATGATGCTCGCGACACTGTCCTTGCAGCAGACACAGCACTGAGCGCTCTCCCCTAACTGCCCTGCACATACGCCCAGGGCGGCCCCAGAAATCCCAGACAGGAAATCGGCCTGAGAAGTCGCATGAGAGATGATGCTGCCCAGGTGCCTGACTCTGACACAGTGTCCAACACAACGGTCCGATGTCGGTCCCTCGGGTATGTCTAGCAATGTCTGTAGACAGTTTTGATGTCACAGCTGCTGGGGGAGTGGCAGCAGGATCTAGGAGGTGGAGGCCCACAACGCACGGTACAGCCCCCCCAGCCAAGAATCATGTAGCCCAAAACGCCAATGGCGCCAACAGCCCTGATCGCACACGAGGGACCAGCTGGAGCATCACTAGTTCTCTCTGGAAAGAAACACTGCCGGCAATATCCTGACCCTGGCCAGGCGGGCCTTGTTTGGCCTGAAGCCAAACGGTCACCAAGAAAAACTGCTCCCACAGCTTGAAGTGCCAACTGACCTTCTCAGACGCATTTCCCACATTCCTGAATCAGTGGACTGGGACCACGTCTCGGCGCTTCAGGCTGTGGACGTGTGGCATGACACCCTGGGAGGGTTCGCTTGTCCTTTTTGATGTCCACTTCCCAGTGAAGGACACTGGCTTGAACATCCTCACCTCCCTTTCAAAATCTGCTCTGCCAATCAGGGATGGGTCTAGACCAGCGTGACCTGAGACATGTCCCAGGTTACCTTATCAGACTTCCAGAAACAGAGGCACTGCAGCCTAGAAGTTGAGTCTAGAAACTCCTGGCTGAAGAAAGTCCACACTTCTCTTTACTGCACAACTGCTCAGAGCCTTGGATACCTAGTATGAACCCCAGTCTCCACGGGCACAGAGGGATGTGCGGACTGCAGCATCTCCCAACTTCGCTGTCCTCAGAGCCTTTTCCTAATCACACTTTGGACTAGTCTTCCTTGGTGCCTATTTTAGCAATGTTGACCTGGACCTTGACAAGCTGTATTCTCAAGCATGCGAAAGAGAACTGGTACAGGGCCTGACATGCGCAGTTCTGCTGGTCCCCTGCCGTTTTGGGAAGGAGCTCTTGCTTCTTGGGTTCCCCTTTCATCTCACGGCAGCGGGACCACACAGTGCTTAAGGGCAAAGCCTTCGGAGGCAAACACACCCAGGTTGAGCCCCCAACTCTCCCCTTACTCTCTGTGACTTCAAGAAAAGGCTTCTCCTTGCTAAGAGCCTCTGTTTCCTCATCTAGAGAATGAGAGGACCTTCGTGGCCAGGTGATTATGAGTGCCATAAGGTGACGTACACCACCGTGCTGGCCACAGCGCCTACTTGCGCTATGCGAGCTCCTAGCTAATGTAAGCCATTTCTGTTCCTATTCATGAGGGCGGGAAAAGAGAAGGGACACTTTTAGTTACCTGTCCAGCAGGGCTCCCAGCTTCTTGGCAACGTGGGCTCGGAACTCGGGGGTGGTCTGAAGCTCGTTGCCGTCTTGCTCATGCTCATCCACCTTCTGCCTACAACACACACAGAAGGGCCTCGCTTGCCACCCGCTCAGGAGCTGCCCCCGTGAGGGCAGAGACCACATGTCCTATTCGCCCCGCTATCCCATGGTCTAACCTAACATTGACACACGGCAGGGAGTCGGCATTTGTTGAATGACTGTACGAACTGGAACCCAGAGTATACAGTACCTGAGGCTCGGCTGGGTGCTTGGCAACCGACTGTTCACAGCATCTGTGGAAATAATGAAAATCGGAGGCATTTGTAGAGGACCTGACAATAACAATACCTGCTGTGTGCCAGGAGTGATTTTAAGTGCTTTACACGGATAACTCATTGCATCTTTCCAACCACTCCATCAGAGGGGTCACTGTTGTCTCTATGTGGCAGAACAGGAAACTGTAAAATAACTCAGCCAGAGTCACACAGCCGGTAAGCAACAGAGTTGGGATGAGGACTCAGTCAACTAGCTCCAGAGCCCTCTCTTCACTGCCATGCCGAGCAGGCAAGTCTAAGTTTAATTTGATTCCAGCATTTATTGAGCTGCTACTAGGCACCTACCTACCTGGCTGTGTGCTAAGCGCTGTGGAGGACAGAGAAGGTGGCTCCATCACACTGATCACGCTGTTCAAGCCAACACACTGGGGATTCCTGGCCTGGTGGCCATTCACCCACCAAACACTGGAGGTCTAATATAACCCAGGTAGAGTTCTAGCAGCTAAACAACTTAGACAAAGATCTCAGCCCTCGTGGAGCTTACTTACACTCTGGCTAGCAGAGAGAGATTACAAACACACACACTGAATTACATATGTAAAATTAAATACTAAGTATAGGGAGTGCTAGGCAGGGAGAGGGTCACTGATAGGTGACATTTGAATAGAAATGTAAGGGACAGGTGAGGGAAGAAGCCAAGTGGACACCTGTGGGAGTCTTGCAGGTAGAGGAGTGAGAACCTGCAAAGGCCCTGAGGCAGAATCTGTCTGGTGTTTTTTGGAGTCAGCAAGGCCAGTGTGGCTGCAGGAGAAACAAGGAGCTCGTGGGGGCCACAGTGGGGGGGTCTGGTGGGCCAGTGTGAGGACCTGGGCCCTGAAGGAAGGGAAAGGCCACTGGAGGTTTCTGCACAGAGAATGGACCCACACAGGATTTTACAAAATCCCTCTGACTGCCGTGTGGAGACACAATTAGTGGGGCGAGGCCAGAAGCAAGGACTTTGCTGCAATGAATGAGATGTTACAAAGTGGCAGGACCCTGGATATGTGTATTTTGAAGATGGAGTCAACACAATTTTGCCGCTGGACTAGACAGATGGTGTGAAAGATGAATGAAAGGTTTTGACTTGAGTAATGGGACAAAATGTGCTTATGTACTTAAGGGGCTACCTGAACAAAACGGACACTTGGTAACTCTGGACCCAGTGCAGGGCCACAGTACTAAGCAACTCCAGAAAACGCAGTTGGCACTGTGGTCTGTGCCCACGCGCTCTGGGCCACAACACAGAATACAAAGTGCCTGGTGGTCCTGAGGTTGGGAACGTGAAGCCCTGGGATGGACAGTCTTTGCACACCTGGTCGTGTTTCTCGAGCGTGCAATCACAAGGGGAAGGGCATTTCCTCCATCCTGACTACAGAGCAATAGTTGTGAGGTGCTCTCATGCCGCAGAAGCAGGGTTAGACCTCAGGCCCCAGAACACAGAGTTCAGTGAAGCCCTGGCTCTTCCACTGACAAGCCGTGTGACCCTGGGCAAGTCCCTGTACCTCCCCCAAGCCTTTGTTTCCTCATCTACAAAATGGGGATAAGGTAACAAAACTTCCAGTTAGTGTGGGGACACAGTGAAGTTTTATACTGCTTTGAACACTCTGCATGTTCACCTTCTCCTTGGCTTTGTGAGCTACTGGGGCACACGATCTACCTTTTTATATCTTTACATCCCCAGCTCTTGGCAATGATGTCTTGGTGTGAAATAAATGTTACATATCTTTATTCAAGTATATGTTGTCCTAAAATTAATTTTCAAGCTAAAAAAAAAAAAAGGCTGGGATCTCTTAAGAATAAATAAATAAATAACATCTTTAAAAATAATAATAAATAACTCTGGCTGGTGTGGCTCTGTGGATTGAGTGCCAGCCTGTGAACCAAAGGGTCTCCAGTCAGGGCACATGCCTGGGTTACAGGCCAGGTCCCTGGTGGGGAGCATGTGAGAGGCAACTGATCGATGTATTTCTCACACATTGGTGTTTCTCTACCTCTCTTTCTTCCTCTTTCCCCCTCTCTTTAAAAAGTAAATAAAATCTTTACAATTAAATAAATAAATAATTAAAAGAAGTGGGAGTTGGGCAGGAGGGAGAAAGCAGTCCATGTAGCAAAACCAGCCACATAATTGCTGCCGTTTATCGGGCCCTTATTATGTGCAAGTGCTGCAGATGCGTCATCACAATGACTTCTCAACCTGGTGGGGTGTTCACCTTTAACAGAGGAGAAAGTTTAGGTGCAGTGAGATTTAAGTATCTTGCCCAAAGTCTCACCACTAGTGAGTGATGAAGATGGAAAGGCAGATCTGTGTATAGAACAGATGTGAAGAGAAAACTACGGGGTTACGGTGCCTTGTGGTGAGGGTACAGTATGGTCTGGAGACTACCTATGGGAAGCGCAGTGTGGTAGGACAGGGAGGAAGGAGAGGCAGGCAGGGAACAGATCACCAAAGAGCCCACAAGTCCGCCTCAACAAGGGGGGGGGGGGCGTTTAACCATGCCTGGCCACGGTCTGTGCTGGCAGTCTGGTAAAACCTGGACCCCTTCTCAGAATGTCTTAAATAAATAAAATAAAACCCATAGCCTGGCCAGGTAGCCCAGTTTGTGAGAGCATCGTCCTGATACACCAAGATGGAGGGTCCAGTCCCCATTCAGGGTGCATACAAGATCAGCCAATGAACACATATCCATGTGGAACAACAAATCCCATTTTTCTCGAAAATAATGAACACACACACAGTATTACAAAGAAATCCAATGATACTGAAGCGCGGTTACCTCAACAGTAAAAAAAACAAATCTGGCATACTAATATATATGCTTCTTTTTTAATGTATTATATAAGATCTGGAGATTCTTTAGATTTAGGGCCCACAAATGATCGTAATTTTAAAGCAGGAATGAGTATAAATAATTCTCCCCAACATTTTATTGTGAATAAAATATTTTTGCATATCTGCAAAGGTGATGGGATACGAAAATCTGTAACTTTTTAAAAAGATTTCATTTATTTATCTTTAGAGGGGAAGGGGAGAGAGGGAGAGAAATATCAATGTATGGTGGCCTCTCCTGCATCCCCTGCTGGGAACTGGCCTGCAACCCGGGTATGTGCCCTGACTGGGAATCGAACTGTGATCATTTAGTTCGCAGGCCCGCGCTCAATCCACTGAGCTACGCCAGCCAGGGCTAAAATCTGTAACTTTTGATAGGACAAAATAACAGGTATTGTCCAAGTCACCTGTGGCTTGTGGCCCACATAAGACATGGGAAAGGATGCCAAACTTCCAAAAGGGGTTAATGAAAGCAAAGATGAAACACTGTTCCCGTTCCACACATGTACCCTCTGGATGTTGACTCGTTATCCCGATGGTGAGGGGTTTTGCCCTTATTCCCGGGAAACCAGGGAGTCCCGGTCAGGGCCGTGCTGCACACCGCTTCCTGGCAGCCCCAGGGGGTGAAATGTGCTGCGGGAGGGGAAAGGCTGTACGTGAGAATCCACAAAGTGGGCTGTTGCAGTCATTTCGGACAGGTAGCGGGCTGCCCAGTGTGCAGCAGTGAAGATGGCCCAAAGGGGGCTGAGTCAAAAGACGCTCGAGTGCCTGGATTTCCCTGACTGGGACAATGAAACAACCCACAATACCGCCGTAGCCTGCACTTTGAAGCTGAGCCCCATCTAGTCCCTGCAGGTCTCTCGGGCAAAGAAGTCGAGTCCCGATGACTCCTGCCTCACCATCCATCCTCTTGGGCCCCACGGAAAGATCCCGCGCCCTCCAGCCAGACTGCGTGAACCCAGTCCCCTACCGGTTCTTTTCTTTTCCGGCCCTCTCGGGGGCTGCTGCGAGTCCCAGGCCGGCGTGGCGGCCTCACGGCACCGCGCCAGCTCCTCCGCATCGCTGCCACTGCTGCTGCTCTCCAAATCGCTCATGGGACCGCCAAGCGCCGTCCTCTTGAACCGCCGCAAAGGATGGTGGGGAGCGCCTCCTTAAGCGGTACCACTCCGCGACCGCACTTGGGAGTGGAGGAGCGCAGGGCATTGTGGGGATGGTAGTTCTCAGACTCAGACCGCCAGCGGCCATTGAATTGTCGTGGGAGTTTCCCCAAATGTAAGAATTTAGAAGTGCCAAAGAGATCAACTGCTCCACCCCTCTCGTTTCTTTTTAGATTTTATTTATTTATTTTCGGAAAGTGGGGAAAGGAGGGAAAAAGAGGGAGAGGAACACCAATCGAGTGCCTTTTGCACGTCCCCAGATGGGGACGTGGCCCACGACCCAGGCACGTATCCTGACTGGGAATTCAATCGGCAACATTTTGGCTTGTAGGCTAGTGTTCAATTCACCGAGCCACACCAGCCAGAGCTCCAGCCTTTTCTTGAAGAGGAAATTGAGACCTATGGAGGGGAAATATTGCCTAAGGTCACACAGGGCGTTAATGCCTGAATTCCCAGGGTTTGATTTCATGCAGTTTCAGTATCACTCATTTATTCCAGGAATTCCAAAATCCATCTGGGAATCAGAAACAATTTAGTAAATCCGTTAAAATGCAGATTCTTGTGCCTAACCAAAAACTAACCAAATTAGAATCTCTTGGGAGGTGGGACTCAGGAATCTGCATTTCCTCAATATGCTGGGGTCTGGCTTCCACTCAGAGTATAGTCTTCGAGCCAGCAGCATGCATAATACGCAGGAGCTTGTTAGAGACGCAGAGTCTTGACTTCCGCTTAGCCCTACTTAATCACGACCTGCAGTTAAATAAGTTCTCTAGGATGTACAGCGAAGTTTGAGGGGCACTATCCTGGGTGATTCTGATGCACAGCTGGGTTTTTATAACTGTCTTATTCAAGTTCAAACCTCCAGCTTGTGAATCAACTGTGTCTTTTTTTTTTTTTTTTGACTTGATAAGCAAGCATCAGGCTTTGGGGTGGGGTGGGGGGAGGTCTGTAATACGAAACAACTTCTCGTCTGTTTTTGTTTTTACCCTCCCATTGTTATAAATAAATTTCAGTGGCCAAACCCCAGATGTGTCCTTTTTTCTTTCCCTAACTGCTAAAACCATTCCCTTCCACCTGGTATTACTATAACACTTGGAAAAGGTTATAAATTCCATTCCTTAAACAACAGAAAAAGTCCGTACTATTTTTTACAGTCATCCTTGCTCTCCCAGACCGCTTCCTTCTCAGCGTCTCTAGTTTTCACTCCCAGATTTGAGACACTTGAAGGGTTAAGCAATCACCTCTAGGACAAGCATTAACACCCTTGGAACGAAATGAACATCATCCAAAAGTGAATGAACAGACTTCATTTATTCCCAACTTGCTATAGCAAGGGAGTCAACCAACATTCCCTGCGTTTGGCAGAGACTCGAAGACAGGCAATGGGAAAATTTTCCAGTGGAGAGTCGAGAAGGCCTCAGGTATGCGCTCCGTTTAAAGTTGGACGCATAGGGTAGCTGGAGGCGGGCTGTCTAGAGGCAGGACTTCATCCTTTGTGATTGCTGGATAGCGTATTTGGCTTTCTCTGGTTGGTCTTGAGTTGGAAGGGGCGGGGTAGAGGAGAGATCAGGGAAGCTGGTAGTTATTGACTTAGTCCGGACAGTTTGGGGCTGATTGATGAACAGGTGGTGGTTTGGCTTCCGAAACTAGTGGCTACAGAGGTTGTGGGTCAGAATTCTGTTATCACGTATGGTCTAGTCCTTTGTATATCTAATCTTTCATACCCTTTCTCATCCCTCCACTGGCAGGGAGGGCTAGACTAACTCTTTACAAAAGTGGTGAAGACATGTGACCTCCCCAGCAGAGAACTGGAAGGAGTGATTGACAGGATGAGTCCTGGCTGAGAAGGCAGAACCGCACAGAGAGGTTTCCCAGAAGAAACTAGCTGAGTACAAATGGGACCCTTCTGACTTTCTTCTTGGAGAGGATGAGGGTGTCACTGTCCTTGATACCATAGCCCTCGAAAGCCAACCAATCCTGCAGGACCTGGCCTTGGAACTCCAGCTGTTGCTGATTTCGGAGGATCCCCTCCTTGTCTTCGATCTGCTGTTTCAGGCTCAGGACGAAGCTCTTGGGGTCGATGGCATAGGCGTGGCTCCCACCACCCGGATTCTTCACAAAGACCAGGATCTCGGAGGCCATGGTCTCCAGCAGAGAGATGCAAGTGTCGGAGAAGATCCCGAAATCGGCCAAGGAGCTGCAGCCATTGAGGAGCTGCCTCTCGCCACTGGGCTGCTGGAAGGACAGACGCTGCTGGCCAGAGTAGCCCTGCCTCCGACGGATCTTCTTTTTAACATTCTTTATTGTCTCATGAGGGTTCACAATGAGGATCAAGTCGGGGTAACCCCACTGCTCCACAGTCACCGTGATGTTTCGTGCAGTCTGCCAGGGAGAGAAGAAGGGGTGAGTCCACACTCCTCTCTTACATGTGGAAATTCCCTCCACCTGTCCTCTTTCCTTTCTTTTATTAATTTAATTTAATTTATTTCTTTAACTGATTCTAGAGAAAGGGGAAGGGAGAGAGAAAGAGAGGAAGAGAAACATCAACTTGAGAGAGAAACACTGAGTGGTTGCCTCTTGCACGTGCCCCAACTGGGGACTGAACTCACAACCCAGGCATGTGCCCTGACTGGGAACTGAACCTGCGACCTTTCGTTTTGCACACCATTCAGGGCTGTCCTCATCTTTTCAACAGCAGCAGCAGCAGCAGCAGCAGCAAACATTCAGGGAGTGCCAACCACCTTCTGGGCCCCATGTTGGGTGCCTTTTACAGCAGCCCCATGAGTGGTTGATTCTCCTATTATCCCATTTTACAGATAAGGACATTGTGATCAAACAGGGTGAAATGATTTACTGAACACCCCAGAGGTAGTGAGGAACAGAGCGGACATTTGAACCTGCTCCAAAGCCTGTCTTCCCCGATGAAGCCACACTCAAGGACCCGAGAGTCCCGGGTGGCTGAAGAACCCACCTGCAGGGTGCTGGGCAGGCCTGGCCCTCTAGCTGATCTTTTCTAGAAGGAACGGAGGCCCAGCATGCTCAAGTCTTTAGGTTTTTCAAGATAAAAATCTTTGCACAGCGGTGTGCCTGGTCAGGAAAAATCCAAAGGCATACACTTTCCAGCCCATCCGTGGGCATCATTTGTCTGGTGGGCTTAGTTCGTAGTCTCTGTGCCTTCTTAGAGAGCCTCTGGTGCTCCTTCTGCCTTTGCTCCTAGCAGGTGTTTGCTCCAGCTTTTGTTCTGGAACATGCACCAGCCCTTTGCCCCTAACCCCCCACCCCACCTTTTACCTAGACGGAGCACCCTCTGTTCTGAGTGTCTATATGCCTCCCTGGCTTTTAAGACCCACCTCAGGCCCTGTCTTCTTCAAGGAATCCTTGCTGGTGACTTCAAAGATAACATTTATTTTCCATTTCCGGAGCCCTACAAAGACCTGGGTGTCAGTCCGGTCACCTCTTAGGAGTGTGACCCAGGTCAATTAATTGACTTAGCCTCTCTGGGTCTCAGTTTCCTCATCTGTTAAATGATGATAATAACACTTGATATTTCTACTTTACAGAGTAATCCCTGGACAAGTGCTTTGTAAATTGAAAACTACAATGTGATTGAAATAGATTGTTATGGCCCTTGCCTGTACTATTGTAACCGGTGTGGCCAGGGAGAGCCCCAAATAGGAATTTGTAATGGGGTCCAGAGCTCAGGGTGTCCAGGAAATATTAATAATATATATATATATAGATTGTCCTCACCCCCGTCCCCCACAAGTCTGAACTGGGGGTTAGGACACGTGGAGCAGGGCCATTGAAAGTTGTTCTGCATAGCAACAGTTTTGCAAATAACTTCAGGCATGGTCATTTAACATACCTATAAGGTTTAACTGGTTTCATGGATATGTTAAATAGCTGTGGCCATGCTTTGAGCCAGGGGGATGGGAATGACTTCCACTCAGGATATAACCAGGAGGCAATTCCCCCTGCTTACAGCGCCTGTGTGAGAGCTTGGAGATGATTGGCTCCACGCCGTGAGGCCACACTTACCGGGACTTACTATGGCAGCCAAGAAAGACTGGAAAAATATGGGAATTCTGGCAGGTGTAACTGATTGTGGGAGGAGTCGGAAATGGGGCTGCAGAGGAAGATTGGTGCGGGGATTTAAACCCAGGCATAGTAACCATGCTGGGTGGTTGGGACCATGTGGTTTTGGTGAGAGTCAGGACCACATGGCTTTGGGGTGCTTTCTTTTGCCATGTAGCTTAGGAAGCAGGAGAGACCTTGCTGGGAAGGAAAGGGGTGAAAGGATTCTTGCTGGAGGGCCATGAGAAGGTGCCACATGGTTTTGGATTAACTGGAGACTGTGGCAGTGACACAGCTGATGGTGCCAGAACCGAGGGGCTGCCTGAGCCACGGACTCCTACTTCTTTTCCTGAGACGGTACCCCAGACTGTTCAGAGGGAGAAGGAAGGGCTGTGTGCATTTGTGGATGTTCTAAAGGACTTTAGTATTTTAATGAAGACATTAAGTCATTACTCTATGTCTATATAACTTTTAAAATAAATAATTCCTTTCCTTTTCACCAATCTCAGGCATTGAGAGACATCTTTCCCTGGCAGTGAGCAAGGCAAACCTAGTACGGCGGCGGGGGAGTGGGGGGGACTCCGAGGGGGGGGACTCCCGGAGCACAGGTGGGGGTCTGCTCAGTTATAGTATATCGTTCACCGCCCCAGGTCTGTTCTGCAATACTATAGGTTTGGCATCACATTGTATCATCTGCTATTGAGATTTTTTTGTTTTCTGAGTATGCTCTTTGGTAATTCTTTCTAGTAGTTTTTTTTTTTTCCTTCCCCAGAGTTTGGAGCAAGGAAATGTGTATTGATCGAGAAGGCCTAGCTCGAGAACACGAGATAACTTATTCTCCAATCCGTTTAAAGACAACTCCAAGTTCAGGTACCCTTCAGCAGCTTGGGCG